GCGTAATGTAAGCGAACCATCGAAAATATTTGTATTTAGGATGGTTGACAGGGAAAGATTTTATTAATTCGGCCTTCTCATCCCAATATATGGATTGGAATAGATGTAAGGAATTGCGTCGCATGATACTTATTTGCCGTCGAAAATTATCGATAACCAAATCAATCAACATTTTCAATTATCATGAAATTATGAAAGGAAAAACGTGTATGTAATTTCTCTTTGTTCGTATTTTCTTGGCTTGATGCTTATTATTTCACAGTGAGTGATTTTGTGGTACGTGAATTTAGTCTTATCTAACTGGACAGGAACGAAACAAATTAAACCTACTGAACATACCTATGAAGTAGCTACTGAGAATACGCTAAAAAATAAAACCAATTTAGTGTAGTCAGCTATGCACGAGTTTACTTAATTAAGGGCTTAATATTAATTAACTAAGTTTATGTAAAGGTTTTCACAAAATTGTAATGTGGTCCTCAAAAACTTTATACAAATAAAGTTCTCCGTGGCTATAAACTCTATCTTGAAATAATGCAATCAATTGAATTATTTCTAGATAGAGCACGATACAGAAGGTGGTCGTTCAAAGTGAGCCTTTGATGTTTTTAAAATCAGGGATACTGGTTATACTGATATTTAATTTTGCAACCAGATGTAGAGTTTTATGGCAAGTCCCTGAAGTGTCCAAAAATTTGAATATATATGTATTTATAAAATTCTGAGTCCTGAAAGGTATTAAAATTTTCGAAAATATTTGGCGTTTTAACAATAAGTGGTTTTTGATCAAATTCGTAAAACTTCACGATCTGTGTAATTAAGGAAACGCTCAAAACCACACCCACCTGGGGGTGTGGTTTTGCGAAATTTTAGGTGTTTGTGTAAACCCCCACATCCTGCCGATAAATTATTCGTGTCGCATGACATACTTTGTAAGTGTTATTAAAAGACGTCGAAAACCACACCCACATGGGGGTGTGGTTTTGCGAAATGTTATGTGTTTGTGTAAACCCCCATATCCTGCCGATAAATTATTCGTGTCGCATGACATACTTTAGACAGATTGTTTCAAAAGCGCTGATGGCCACACCCCCTATGGGTGTGGATGGATAAGTCTTTGTCCCCAGGGTAATCGATGTATATGAATATGCCTCAGTTAGTTATTTGAAATTTGGAAGGGAATTATCTATCATAACACGTAAATACACGCAAGTCAGATAAGCTTTATGCCACACCCCCTACCGCACCCACGCTTTTTTGGCCAACCTGTCGCCGAATTTGACGAAAAGGGTCATACCCAGCATTATCTGATCCCTAAATTTGGTCTAGATAAGCAATAGTCATATTTTTTAGAAAAAAATACAAATGTTCACTTTTTATTATTGTGACCTTAATTATAGGTCACCCAGGTCAAATTTGAAAATTTTGAAAATACGTGTTTTTCGAAATCGCACAACGTTTCCAAAACATGTTTCAATTTGATAATCGGTCAAGAATTACCAAAGTAATTACAATTCAAAATTTTGTAATGTTAATAAGCATGGGAAAATGCGCCACTTAACCTTTTTGAAAAAAAGAGACTTATAAAAACAATCAGACCATAATAAGTAATTTTAACTAATTATGATCTGAACAACTCCTAATTTTGACAATGCGTTATCGTGTATGAACATGTATACATGATTATTACATATTACACAAAATTGTTCATTTTTACCAGTACACCCTCAGTATAAATAAGTAGGTTTAATATACTATCGTTAAATTAACTTATCTTTATATTTCCGGAAGCGACATTAAAACAAAAAGTTTTTGTTTTAATGCTCAACATATATACTTTTTGACAAAAAGTATGGCAAACATTCGTCTTAAGTTAACTTACGTATGTGTGTTAGTTCTTCGTAATCAAATAGATTTTTTACCCTTTACCGGGAATGAGGTTTTTAAATAATTGAGTAAAGACGTCTTGTTTTTATTATCTTTTTATTATATGTACGAGGGAAGGACCATAAGTAATCGGATACGCCGTGAAGGAGCAATAAATTTGGGAGACTTACTTCATCACTTATTAATATGGTCCCCTGCAAGGTTAATACACGTGGTCCAGTTTTATTCGAAAGAACCTATCCTGGTTTTAAAAATTGTTTCGTGTTGCTGGTCAAAAAACCTAGAAAATCAAATAAATAGTCGAAAATCACTTTCCCCGGGAGGTTTTTTTAAAATGTCGATATTGGTAGTACTCAGTGGGGGTCTGGTCTAGACTACAAGGCAGGTGAAATAATTCTGTCATCTTGTTACTTAAAATGGCACCCTGCTCAACTTTGGATATTTGAACGGGTGAAAATGAGGTAAATGACGCCGTTTTAGTCCCTTTCGTTTCTCCACAACGGGTTGTCGCAAACTCTTCAAAATTTCTGCATAAGTAGCATCAGTTATCGTAGTTTTATGTGAGAGAATCTCTAAAATTAGAATTTCTTCCAAGTCCCAAAAATTTTTTGTCATTACCTTAAAAGCTGGTTTTTTAGCGATAAGCGTTTTTGGGGGAATACAGTCAGTATATGTCCACTGCATATTTTTCTGCTTACCCAAAGGGTCATAAAAATGAACCCAGGTTTTGTCCCCAACGAATAGCTAAGCATAGAGTATTTGCTTCTGTTTTGAAGGTCTAAATTTTTATGACAAAAATGCGCTTGAATTTTTTTTGCTCGATGCTCAAATTCATTTGAACCAATTTTTCACTAACCTAATTCAGGGGAAGACAATCATGTGGGATTCTGACGACACTTGTTTTATGAATACCCAATTACCAAGCTATTTTCCAAGCTATTACTCGACTGTTGGTGATGACCAGGTCATTGATTTTCTGGAGAGTTAGGTCATCAATCACGAAAATAGCTCGACCTTGTTTTTCATCGGATTAAAGTGATTTTCTGCCAATGCGAAGTTTCTTAGCCCATTCATGAAATATTTACAATGAAGAGGTTGAATTTGGGAAAAATTTAAGAGTACATTGATGAATATCCGCCGGGGGGGTCCCTTGAAACGTTAAAGTCCGCATCACAGGAAAATACTCAATTTTAGTGATTTCAGTTTTTTCATTGTATTCCGTTACATCCAACCACTTCCTCGACCCGGCAATGGTCGTATGCTAATCAAACTTTCAGCATAAGATGCATAAAAGTTTCTCTTTCAAACAACCCGAAAAGGTGGGGCAAAAAGAGACTCCTTCAAGGCGTATCCGATTACTTATGGTCAGCCCTCCGTATTACTCGTAAAAAGACAGCATATTTTCTACATAAATATATCAGACAACGCATTAAGACGGTTATGCACAATTTATAGGGTATTTTTTCTTTTGCAGATAATTTGAAATCAGCCATTAGATAACTTGTTGATTTTTTTGCATACCTTGCCATACATGCAAGGGCAACATTTTTAGGGATTCATTTCATTAAGTTTAGAACCATAGTCTTTGGTTATTCCAATGCATGTAGAAAATACGAGTAGATATACGATTGTATTATACATTCGTTCCTTGTTATTATTCTTCATTTTAAATTTTTTAGTGATAACGATCGATTAAAAATAAATCTTCCGACTGTGGGCCTATATTAGTATGTTGGGATGATATGAATCGGTTTGGGAAGCATTGGAAATGCGAGTGGGATGGTAGCATAGAGGGAATGCGTCAGTCTGGGTAACTGAAGATTCTGGTGTAGGAGCCAGGCCTTCCATTCAATTTTTTGGTGTTTCCACCCGATTCCTATTTCCCACACGACGCGAATACAAGATAAATCGGTAACGAATTTTATGGAAATAATTGAAAAGGTTTTTGAGACAAATTATAATGCAAAATATGTAATTTAGTACCATGATGTTTCATAACTAAAATGTGTTTAGAACCCTATATAATTATTTGCATAAATTTCAACACCGATTTATCTTGTATTCGCAATGGAAGATCTATTTTTAATCGATCGTTATTACTAAAAAAATTAAAATGGAAAATTTAGGATGGGCATACCCATCCTTGAGGGATGGGCATACCCATCCTTGAGGGATGGGCATACCCATCCTTGAGGGATGGGCATACCCATCCTTGAGGGATGGGCATGCCACGCTCACTCCCTTACTGCCTAGGTAAATAACTGCATGCTTTGAAAAAACCTCCCGATTTGAACGAACCCTATTAGCAATATACATAGTTTCAAAATCTCCTCTGGAAAAAAATTTAAACGTAACATCAACATATTGTAATTATTAAATAAAGAGGGTTAATTTTATCTTGGTGAAGAAAACAGGAAATTAACCTATCTATATGAGAAAATGCATGAGATTCTCTTTAAAAATCAAAAACAAAATGCATATATTGCCACGACACTGGACGAAACGGGATAGAATGTGGTGAGGTGAGACACAATTTTGTGATTTGCATCCAACCTTTAACTTTTTTTATTGGTCCACGTGCTCTGACTGGCATACCTGTACCAGAATGATGTGAACCAGAACTGGATGGATAATTTTGATAAGAGTTAAATATTGCATTGTATTTCATAGTAAGCGAACTTCACACTCTTCGTTTAAATAGATATTTTCTTCAGCTAAATCACATCCTGTAGTTAAATACGCTTTGAGAGTTGAGACAAACTAGGATGATCTGAAAGTTAGATTAGTTCACTTTCCGCTATAAAACAACTTCTTTGCTAAAATACTTATATAAATTAAAAATAATCATGAACCATCTGGAAATTTATCTTCACTTTACTCCATGTATCCATGTAGCAGGAATGATTCTTTAATTGCTTAGTTTTTACGATGCTACACAGGCAATTAGTGAGAAATTTAACCAACAGGTTATTAGTTTAGGGTAAGCATATACTGCATACAATACATTATTTGACTGCGAATACAAAATTTGTGCATACATACGTACATATATTGCAAAACGAGTTATAAAATAAATGTATTCGTAAATAAATAGTTCCAGATGCATTTTCTAGATCAAATTACATACATCAAACGTTACATTTTAAAAATATTATTGCGTGATTTTTGAAGAACAGCACGACATAATTAAATCTCCTCACCCTACAAGTATATTATAAGTAGACACAAAATATTTTACCATGACAGCCATATCCGTTGAGGATGATTTTTCTGTATTGAAAATAATTTCTGCGACAAAATACTTTTCGCCAGGTGTTTCAGTTCTACAAGACGTTAATCTCTCTGTGGAAAAAGGGATGATGTGAGTAATACATATATTCAATTGATTTTATTTGAACGTTAGAAATTTTAAAAGTTCTCTTTATTAGATACGCTCTACTGGGTCAAAGTGGCTGTGGGTAAGACGCCTGATTCATTAATTGAAATGTTGTTAAAATTCATCTCAGATTTTGGGAGAATCAAAAATTTAATGCGATATCAATGTCACTAATCAGTACTATCGATTTGATAGGAAAACAACTCTGCTGTCATGCATTGTTGGACTGCAAAAGCTGTGCTCTGGAAACATTGAAATTTTTGGGAGAGATATTTCCCACTACAGAAATGGGGTTCCGGGATCTGCTGTTGGATTTATGCCGCAGGTTGAGAAATTTTTTAAACAATATTGCATTACTTTGGGATTTATTCACCACATTTATCTCGCTAATTCACAAATTCAGGAAATTGCACTGTACGAATCGTTCACAATTTTGGAAATATTCTCATATTACGGTTTACTGCATTCATTATCGGAGGACGGGATACGATCTAAATTAGAGGAGCTTCAAATCTTATTAAACCTGCCGAATTTTGATAAATATGTGAATGAAATGAGGTAGGTACACAATTCTTAGCCTAAAATTCCACCTAAAATTAAAATAAAAACCTAAAATTCTTCTCATCAATGTTAACTATGTACATATGTCCAGTGGTGGAGAACGTCGTCGAGTTTCACTAGGAGTTGCATTATTGCATGACCCTAAACTTCTCATTTTGGACGAACCGACGGTCGGCATCGATCCGCTTTTACGTCAGAAGTGGGTACAATAAATTTTGTAAAACTTTTCTTTTAGGGTAACTGACTAAATATTTCACATAACCCAACTACATACATAGGATTTGGACTTACATCACAAATCTGGTTAAAACTCAGCAAACAACTCTGTTAATAACTACACATTACGTAGAGGAAACAACGCAATGCGACAAAGTTTGCAAAATTTCTTATTTTTGTTAAGTAATTAATAAAGAAATAATTATTAGTGGACATGTATTTATTTCAGATAGGTTATTTAAGGGATGGAACCATCTTGGTGGAAGATTCTCCGCAAAATTTACTAAAGACTTACAAAGTTACATTGTTGGACGAGGCTATGCTTAAGGTGTGCAAACTAGAAGGACACAGGCAACAGAAAGAAATTCCCACGTCCAAGATTAATTTCGGAAGATCACAACGCCCCCGATATAACGTTGAACTTACAGCCTTCCGTAAATTAGGGAATGATGCAGTGTCAAGAAGCTATCAAAATTCTGTCCCTGAAAAGTTGGGAGACAATTTACAAGACACGACTTGTATTAACTGGAATTTGATGAGGAATGAGTTTAAGAACTTGAAAGCGCTTACAAAGCGCAACTGGATTATTTACATACGTTTCAAAATGTATGTATGATAGCCCATTATTGAAACAAAAATATAGATTTTTAAATAATAGAGAAACCCGTTTTTTTAAAAACAGGTTGTTTGTGATTCAAATATTTACACTTCTAATGGGCTGTTTTCTCGCCATCCATGTAATGGGAAATGATCCTGTCGGACTTAAACTAGGCGTTGTGAATTATAATCCACAGTGTCAAAATGGTGGAAAATCTTTCAGTGAAAATCTCAACCGTAGTGGTTTGGGATTTCATGATGACCTTGACAAATACAATTTTGGCTGCGAATTATTCGACAATCTTGGTGGAGATGAAGCGACTATGAATTTGGTATGAGCACGCTGTTCAGACATCCCAATTGAATGTATTCATTTTATGTGCTGAGATATTTAGGTTTACAAGGACACAGTACAGGACGCATTAGAAGCTCTGAAGAAGGGCCACATTATCGGATATATAGTGATTCCACGGAATTATTCGGACCATTTGAAACATAGGATTTTGTTTAGTATGCACGCTGACAATGTAACCATTACAGGCTCTACTATTTCGGCTCGATTGGACAATTCAAGTGCGTGCATTTATATTTAGCAGATAATTTAATTTTGTATGACTAAAATTAAAATTCTACATAGATTATCTCGTTTCTTATTTTGCGAGACAGTATATTTCTTCAAATATGCTCCAATTTATGGAAAATCTAGCCAAAAAGTATGACGTTGACAAAGGCAGAGTAACCCTTCCGCTTCAAGTGCGTAAATATTATTATGATGGCTCCACTTTTAAAATACTGCTTTAGTATACAGAGTAGGGTTGTCCCGCTCCATGGGAGTTTTAAAACTCCCAATACTCCGGGAGTTTATTTGTCAGGGAGTTTTTGGGAGCTTTAAAAATTCCATTTTTTGTTTAAAAAAGGTCGAAAAATTCAATTTTAGAGTTATTTTTTTAGCAAATTACTAGTAAGTATAAAATTATTAACAATTAGTGAGTCAAATTTTTAATTCAATTTTAAATGTTTAATTACTGCAGCATAAAGTTTAAGATACGTATTCGTACAGTTCAATACAGCGGATAGAATATTCTCATTTTTCCCTCAAAACTCCCAAAGCTCCCTGAAAACTCCCAACATTCCCTAAAAACTCCCAATACTCCCTCCAAAACTCCGGGAATTAAATTTTTATGGAGTATTTGGCGCAAGGAGGGAGTTTATTGGGAGTTTTGGGAGTTTTGGGAGGTACGGGAGTTTATTCCGAGGGAGCGGGAGTCGCACAACCCTAATACAGAGTAGGGAAAATTTCTACTAATGGTTTGCTAAATAATGTTGGAAAATGCATGCTGTTTGTTCATTTTTAGACAAACCACTAGTAAAAATATACCTAGACCGATTATGTACTTATGAAGGACTCTTCCTATATATCGTTTCTAATTATTTTGACAAATTTATAAAATATACAGTTTCATGCAGTCCATGGTTCGTTAACAGACACGTGGAATGCTTTCCTAGCCCCGATGTATCTCTTTATGTAAATTATTAACTTTTCCAATTACACTTGCATTTATTATAAGTAAGTGTCTCTTTCTAATGCACCCGTCTTTTTCTAAATTTTAGTGTGTGGGCTTCAGCCTGCTCGTTGTGTTCCTTATTTCACAGTCAAGACAAGACTCAAACAAGCCTCTCTCGAACCCTTGTCACCGGCGTGGACTATCGCACCATCATTTTCTCCTACTTTGTCGTCGACTTTTTTATAATGCTCCCTCAAATTTTCGTCATGTTCATGTGCTTCTGGTGGGACCGTGGAGATAAAATCAAGGGCAGCTGGGCCATGATTTTCCTAATTTTTTACATCGTTCGAGTAAATATCACTTCGTTAACTCTGTTACTTGCCGAGAGCTCAAAAAATTTCCTTAATGCTCTATTTTGTGTCTTGGCTATATTTTGGATGAGCATTTACGCCTCAGGTACGTACTACGGCAAAAGGCGAAACTAATATCCTAAGTAAATTTATTTCCTATATTTGTCAGATACCATCTGGCCCATTGAAACGGTGACATGGTGGTACCGACCGTTCTGTTATTGTCTTCCTCTAACAAACCCGATCGGTATGCTGAGAAGCGTTTTGACAAGGGGCTGGGGAATAACACATCCAGCCGTGTTTTGTTATGGGGTCACCATCCCACTTGCTGTTTCTATACTTGCATTTTTAGTAACTGTAAGGATTGGGAGTAAGCGATAATTACTTGTGCATACAGGGTCCGCAAAAATTATAGCAAGGACTTTTCCACTAATAAAACATTTTAATATGTATAAATTGTAAAACAATATTCACCTCAGCTTCAATCAACTACTGAAGACTTTATTAAGTCCCATTCCAAATTGTAACATGATCATGCCATCATACAATATAAAACGCCTAAAGTATTTGCCATTGCCTAAATTCATGACAGGACTAACTTAAGATCATACATAACTAAATTCTGATTGTGCACACATGTATTATGAAAGGTACCAGGTAAATTCATAGCACACGATTCATAGACCTACAACTCATAGCATACTATTCGTAGCATGTTTTTACCATAGGCGATATGGTCGAGAGTATTGACACTACATAGTAGTACAGATATATTTTCATATAAAATACTATAGCAAGAAATTTAATCGTAAAGTATGATTATACGAACAATTGTTTGTGATGTGTGAATATACAAAAAATTAGTAGTCATTACGTAGCTGACTAATTATCAGTTATTCAATCAGTGACACGAGGTAATAATTTTTTGTGCTTAACTTTATTTTAAGAAGCTTACACGTTTCCAATCCACAAATTTGTCGATTTCCAGAAAATGGTAAGAGTCATCCTGTAGGATTCAACAGTATTTTTTAGTCCGACCTCAACCTTATGTACCCGTTTTGTCCGCCCGTGTATCTACGTGTCTTGTAATAGCTATCGTAAAACTTACCAATCCAATCCTTACCAACCCATCGACGCGAAATTTGGACAAACTTAGAACATGCCGAATTAAAAATCGAAAGTTCGAATGTGAGCTAAATCAGTCTAACGGTTGCCCTGTTGAGGCGGGTTTGGTTTGGTAGGTATCGGTCATAGGTTAGAATATTCAAAGTTACTAAACAGTTTTCAATTATTTGAAAAAGGACTTGTTTTCAAATAAGTTTAGGGAGTCATTGATCAGCACAGTAAAAGGGGCGACTGCAATAAGCCTAGAGCTTATGGTATCGTAGGCTTATCGTAGGTGATGGCCGTGTCTGAACATGGTAGGATCATCACCCCAGCAATACATACGAAGGTGTTTCAGTAATATTTTTGAAAAATGGTATTAGGCTTAGTTTCTGAAAAATCTTTTTACATGATATTATAGCCTACATATATCTAGGAATCTGTGATTTTTTTATAGTTCTGATACTCCGTAATACTATTGTACTAGTTACTGAATAAACTTTACTTGATCAAAATCGGTGCAAGGGGTCAAAAGATATCGCATGTGATAGTGTGCCTTTAAACTTTTGTCGTGGAGTGTACATACGTAGAAATATGGCAAACGATTATGTGAGGCTGTGAGTAATAATTTCCCACAACTTCGAGCTAAATCGTACCATTTAAGAAAATTTAATAATTTTATTGAACTCATCATCACCCTCCCAGCTTCACGTATGAAGGATATATTTTCGTACAACGAGCAAATTTTAATAAAATCTTTATTAATTTACAATCTCCTGATCTCTTGCACATGTTTACATTCTTAATATAACGATCGTACTATGTAGGATCCTGCAGGTTTTTATATTTTACATGTACGCACATGGTTCACAAAATTAAAGCAATTTATGTAAACTAAATAATACACTGCTAATAAATTTGATATATTTTCATCATAATACGCATCAAACTGCCGAAACCCTTACACCGAAATCACCAAGGACATCACGTAATACGCCATCTGTCCGAACAACTGAAATCGTGTGCTTCTCTTCATCACAAAGTATGAACCAGCCCAAATCTGGAGGAGTTTACAACTTCTGAGTACTCTCTTTCTATACATTGAACCTCCTTGCAATTCTAAACCTACCAAAAAGTCTGCAGATTTCCGCTGCACATTCGCCATCGATCCAAACCCGAGTTCGATATAGCCCAGGATTGCCGCAGTTACCATGGAAACAAGAACTTCCAAAGCGTGCGGGACTATTCCTGACATCTTTATGAGCATATATCCCATCATGGCAATGGCTACCAAAAACATTAAAGTCAATACGGGCAAGAAGTACACCAGGAGTTGATTAAAAATCAAATTGATTATTTGAAGCTGTCGATATCTTCTAATGCTCATTATATGATTCAAAGTAATGGTGGGGTTAATCGGCTTGAACCGACTGATTGTTTGTACCTCTAAGCTACTAAGAATTATTAAAAGTATGATAAAGACGATTATCCCATACCCAAAAACCATATTAGAGGAATGCAGTAATGATAAGCAGTAGATAAAAATCCTTATGAATAGCTTCGTTGCTGCAGAAATTACAGTAACGTTGCGAAACCAAAGGTAGGAAGGATCTAAGGTATTGTTGTAAATTGTTATGACACCTGCACTCAGAGGGGTCGAAATTATCAGGGAGATCATTCCATTGAGAAAAATTCCGACAAGATTGGACGATTCTTGAAAGTTGCCTGAGTATTAAAGATACGGAATTAGATCATATTTGTAATTTTTTCAGGAATTTAAGTACTATAGTGTTGTTATTAATGTGTGACTCCATCGCGCAAAAACTTGTACCACCTTCAAGTAAAAAATTATACAGTATTATAGTAATTGCAATACTAATCGTCGGACTAATTCTGAAACGGCAGAAGTGAAGTCGATCGCTAATTCCGAAAGAGCCTAAGTGCAGTCGATCGCTAATTTCGAAATGACCGAGGTGCATAAGAATAACATATAAAAAGACTGCACTTCGGCCCTTCCGAAATTAAGCATCGACTGCACTTGGGCCCTTTCGGAATTAAGCATCGACTGCACTTCGGCCATTTCGGAATTAGTCCGACGATATATAAATAGTACAATTTTAACCATTTGGTAGTAAACTTATCAACAGTATCATCACCATCACGGTATTGTCACAAATCAACAAAGGAGTATCAAAGTGTTTACCTTTCATGTTCCAAAGATTTCTAATTACAAAGCAGAGCTCCTCCGTATAAACATGGTACGTCAAACAGACAGAGGCTGATAGCATATAAGAGGTAGATCCGATTAGCAGGATAAGATACATTGTGACATCAATATCAGGATCTTTCTGGACTGAAAGGACTTCTCGAAGAGAAATATAATAGTAGTCCATTAACATCATGATTCCCAGAAATAAGAGAAAGTACCATGGGAACAATTTTGATTTTGAAGTAGGCCTCGGTTCCCAAGTTTTCCGGTCGAATGTTACGATTTGAGGGTAAAGGGATTCAGTTAGGATGGCATATCGTTTGAGGGCCTGAAATGGGGTGAAGGGATGGGTTAAAGAAATATCTGATAATCGTCGTCGTCCAAACGAGAAAGCTGACATGTTCAAGACTGCAGACTGTAGTTTTCAGTCAGCGTTAAATCCAAAACTGGTCTGTAAGGTATGATGATTTTGAGGAAAGTCGAAAATTATGCATTTAGTGGAAATGCTATAGGAGGTGCACGTAAATGAATTTTCGATTTGCATCATTATCCGCTCACCTTGAGGCACACAAAACTTTATTTGCGTATACAATCGTGGTATATGTGTTTGATTTAGATATATCTTACAGTACAGTTTCCATTTAACTAAAGTATATATAGTTTGTGCAGCTCGTACATATGTAAGTACTGATTTTACAAATCGTGATTGGAAAGAATAGTGAATGATGGTCGCAAATTTTTGGGTAGTTTCCAATACACAAATTGCTACACGTGTAGTAGTACAGTGTGGTTGAGAAGTGTTTTGTCAAAGAAATGAATTTGACTTTGTTTAACATAATTGCATAACCCCAGTAACGGTTTATGGATCACTTTCAAATAATAACCATTCTTCGAAGAAACCTTCTCATCTCACGTAATTTAGACAGTAAAACAATTTACACCTATCTAAGTTTCTGGTGGATTTTAGGAATAAATGTACCTTACCTGAACCACACTGTATCCCCTTAGGACGCCCTTGAAATATTTTGTTCAATTGAGCAATTTCACAATCAGGTCGACATCATCCGTTGTAAACTGCTGAATGACGTTCTCGTGTATTTTTGTTGGTTTGAGTGACACATTATCTGCTAAATTACAGCCTACAATAGATTGCCGAATGCCCTAAAGCAGACACTTATATGCCCCGCAATTTAAAATTTGTGTTCCAATTTATTTTGCTGTATAGCCTTTTCTTGGGAAATTATTGGGTTTAACAATTTTACAAGCAGGTTTAGTTTAGCCTTGATTGGCCACTTCGGTTTGGCCAAACTCTAATATTAGACTCTCAATATTTTTTGAAACATATTGTTACCATATTGTTGGTTACTATGCATACCTTTACCATAATGGTGATAGTTTTACAAACAAGAGTAGGACACAAAAGGTTCCGAATGTCTTATTATTCATGTCCTTGATTGCTACCAGAAGGCTAGAAAACCTGTAGTACAATGGGTAAAATTATGAATTTGTATTTCTCACAAAACTCCATTTCGCAAATTATGTATAGTTACATTGTTATACATATATAAAGTTGATGGACGTTTCTATACTACGTTTACCAACTTTCTAAACCAACAACTGGTAAATAATTCCAGGATTTTTATTATCACCGTGTAGTCAGTGCTTTATTAAAAAAATAAATCCGATAAAAGTATCTGGGGAACATAATTACCTAATATATGCTCCATGTTTATGACAATACTTTCCACCAACAATTAATTAAACTATGTGCAACTTGGCATGATAGCAGTAATTACCACAATAACTTTAAATAATTCGGAAGCTCTCAGAATTAATAATATTGTTAAATTGGCAACATTTTAATATCTTATTACTTATTAGGCATATATGTATATGTATGATTATTACGATTCAGTCAATACATTACGTTTTCTTTGACATAATTCTCATAATAAGTATCAATCGCTTTAAGTTGGACATCTCCTAGAAAAATATGTACTCTGCGTTTCCTTAAATGATCAATCGCTTTGGTTGGCGTCCAGTTATTTTTCTACATTTCAATTAGACAATATACAATTTTAACGAATTTTATGATTGGTCGATTAAATTGATCGATTAAATCCATACCTCTATTAAATAACAAACCACCAGCGTCGCACTTCTCGTCTTGCCTGCCTTACAATGCACGTAAATTGTTCCCTCTGCTTTCCAACATTTGAGGAGGAAATCCACCCCCGACTTCAAATTGGTTTGTGAAGGTGCCTCAAAATTGTCTCGGGTTGCCAACTGGAGGAATTTTATCCCCAATTTGTTCCATCCCTAGAAATTGAATTCATGTTTGTCTACATTTCAACAATTTTGTACTGGTTAGCTTTGATTCGAGCTGATTATGGTCAGTGTAAAAAAATGAGAGCTTTTTTTATCCAAAAACGTTTAGTGTTAAAATTCTTACTGTGGTCCTTCATATTTCAAAGACTTTAAAAAGTTTCAAAATATTACCACACCCCAAGTGAATTAAGATCAGAAAACTTATCAGTACAGCTTTACCGCAGTGTCATTAATTGCACAATTCTTATTTAAGTACCTCTTTATTATGCGAAAATAACCACAACTCGTAATCCTGATTTAGCGAAACGACTCCGGTCACATTCTCCAGCTCCTGCAGATCCTTCACCATCCCACGAAATGGTAATGCCCCCAAAATTACTTTGGAGTCGATTCGGTCAAACCAATTTCTACTGGACGTTTTATCCTTAACCAGGATGTGCAACAAGCTGACATAAAACGCGAGACGACCACCCACACTGATCAACCAAATTTGCCAATTACTTCTCTTAACTACCCTGCCCTCCTTTACTGGTAGTCGAAACCAGTAGTTGAAAAAATTAAAGACGAGCTCGCTAATCCCCATAATTTGTAAAAAAAACTTCTAAATATTACTGCTGAGCAAATTTTGTTGTAAACGCAAATGTTACATGAAGTTTTAATAAGGTTGAAACGATTTACATAAACTTATGAAAGACGAATTTGCTGTTTACGATAAATTACTAAATTATATATACAAGCTTTCCCATTAGTAGTAAGAATAGACTGGAACCACTTCTCATAATGAAACTTATAAGAAGTTATGTATAGTTAATTCACTTATAGTTAGTCATACTTATGCATACGCGTGCAAATCTGTTATACATATCGTCGTACTAATTCAGAAAAGAGGTAAGTGCAGTCGATGCTCCATGCAGAAAAGAGTTCAGTGCACACAAAAAACGAGTAAAAAGAGGTAAGTGCAGACAAGTATTTAGTTATGTATAATGTTTAATAAATACTGCGATCCTAAACTGAATACATGTGTGCACTTACCACTTTTCTGCATTGAGCATCGACTGCACTTACCTCTTTTCTGAATTAGTACGACGATATGTATTTATGTACATACCAAAATACCGATTTAATAATTTATGCAACACCCTGTGAACAGGTTGACAAATCCCGGCACGTGGAGTTATTACTTTTCACCAGGCTTGCCTTTTATTATATTTATCCTAACAAAGCCACATTTTTAATACTTGCAGAATTGATACAAAAATGTAATGCACACAATAAATGCTCTAAATACGATCTTAGCTTTGCGCTGTTGCTCTACGTTAATAAAAGCGTAATTAATTTTCATTCTACTGAAAACTGATCTTATCAGAATGTTATTATCGACACGGGGTATGTTTTATTTTAATAGCTACGTGTATTTGTGTATGTATGCTCGGCTTAGGTATGTATCTATATATGTACGTGTGGTGAGCCCATACAATTAAAAATAATTAGGTAAAGATGCTTTCCAAGATTAATTATAATATTTTCGCTAATGATTTGGAACAAGTTATGGAACAGTTTCCTTTTTACAATAGATAGGAATTGCAAAAGAAATTACAATATAAAATGCATTAAATACAAAATATACTGGATGAAGGGAAAGATAAGGAAGGTACATAAAAGTCTTTCAATATATAACCGGTAAATTTGTTTAATTGTGTTTAGGTAGTACCTAAAACCAATTAAACAAATGTACCTAATAGGTACATTACCACGTGCAACTTTTAGCACTGCCAAGCTGAAATTCAGCTTAGCTGATAGAAAATTGTTCCACGTGTTTTAACGTAATAAAATGATAAAACGTAACATACATATATAGTTTTATCCTTCGATATTTTTAACATAGAATTGCAATTAGTTGCAAGGTAATAAGTCGTGCTGCATTAATAAAAAAAATGAATCTCGGTATATTTTGTGATCGGAAATATATTGACCCAACTCACGAGGCTCGTAAATGTCGCTTCGCAACAAAGTTCGCAAATATGTTAACTTTTGGCGTGAGCGACAAATTTTTCCATTTCGCAAGCTCCGCAATTCAAGTATTTCGTTTCATACAAAGCAGTAATTTTTGGTGGTTGGGATGCGTTGTTAAGGCCCATCATACCAAATGGCAACTCATGGTAGAGTGGTCACACTCATCAAGAGGGACATCAATCGATCGGTTTGGACCATACGATCATTTTGATATATTATACAATTTTGTGTGATAAGAATTGGCTCAGAAATTCCCGAAAAACTGATATTTTGGAGAAATTTTAATGAGCATTAAATTTCTAAAGAATTAAATTGGCTAAAATGTAAGTTGTCTGTAGATAGGCATCCTAAGTTACGGTAGATCTCCTTAACTTTGCGAAGATTTGCGGAGATAACACATGCCTAATTGGTTCGCAAGGTTTGCAAGAAAAATTACGTGCATTTTCATGTAAAATGTTCGTAAGTCTCGTAAAACGTTGCGAACCTTTACGAACTTTGTTGCGATGCGACATTTGCGACATTTGCGAGGTTGGCGTGAGTTCCGTCATTAATTCTTTAAAAAAACATGAAGATGTGCCAAATTTCTAGAATGACACAATTAAATATATATGTATGCATGCATGTTTGCCGATCATTTTGAAAGTTCTTAGTGTGCAAAAAATTGATATTTTTTATAACCTACTTAACATGGATGAGTATCCATCCATCAATTTCATCAATTTCAATTCCATCAATTCAATCCATCCATGATTAACATGGATGGATGAGTTCAAGAGCACGAAAGAAATTTTAAACATTTGAATTGATGTACTAAATTCCAAGAAGAGAACAATATTTGCTCCAAAATAACATTTATTTCAGCCAACCAATGAGTCTAAAATCGAAATATTTTTTTCATGAACCGAAAATTTTAAGGTTCAAGACGAAATGAAGTTTAATCCTTTTCAGACCGAACTAATAATGTATTTAGTTTTACATATTAATTCCAATAATCTCCATTAATTTGGTGATATCCATCTCACTCCCGAGCACGGTCAACTCCTTCATGACATTCATTCTCAGTTCGCGCATTTTATTCTCCGTGTAGCGAATTGCCCCAGCGTCATGTAAAATATCTAAGGCTTCCTGCAAAAAGCTTCGTTCCTTGGTGTGCATTCGTAAAATTTCATGGAGTCGTTTAGCCTTATCGTTCACAGTGCGTAAAGCGTAGATTACCGGAAGACTGAACTTTCCCTCGGTAAGATCATCGCAAAATCCTTTCTTTTCTTCATACTAAATATATAGAAATTGAAGGGTTTAACTTGAGGGTTGCGAATTTTTCAGAAAGTTATCACCATTGTTACCTTTTTCGACATTATGTTCAAATAGTCGTCCCGAACTTGAAAATGATGCCCAATGATTTGCGCCAATGGAACCAAATCAACACCCGCAGTGCTCTTGGATCCAAGCAAAGTTGCCATTATCATCATTTGCCCAGCCGTTTCTGCAGAAATTAGTTTGCAAGAAAAGATTCGAATAAATTTGGTAGTTAAATATTAGTTTTTTTAACCATTATTTTTCTAGATATATAAGTATGAACATTTTTAGACTTACTGTGGACCAAAATGGCGTCGTACTCCTGTTCGCTAGGAATGTTGGCCTCGCTCAAGTCGTCCTTATCACACTGATAATCCCTCAGGTATAAATCCATGCCTTGCGAAATATGCAGAAATTTCACATATTTGCAAAACTTTCGAAGTACTGTCAAATCCCGAAATACGGTATGAACCCGGTGCGTGGATTCGAGCATCATATACGCCGACGCATTCATAGTGAGAGGCTCGCCAAAAATTAAATGGGCCGAGGCCACCCCGCGACGCAAATCGCTCGAGTCTTGAATGTCATCCACTCTATCAAATAATTAGAGAAAATTACCGATTAAATTAAAATTTGAGAATTTAAATCATATTAAAATTCAAAACTTTAAAATGAATAGATTAATGATTTATCCCTAATTTAGTTAGATTATAGCAAATTTTGCAATTTCTTACAACAGAGTGGACTGGTGAAACATGTCGCATATATCGCCCACCGCTGAGACATATTTTTCTTCACTTTTGAGCCACTGGTTAAAAAACAGACCCGTCTTGCGTGACAAATTTTTACTAGGGGATTTTGTCAAATAGGTGAATGGAGAAAGGACTTTATCTAATATTTGGGATGATTTTTTGCCCTCCATCTGACCAATACTTGCAGTTTGAGCCATCTTTGTATTCAGCTTCTATCTCGTTTGCTACTACGAAAGACGAAGTATTACTAAGATGTTGGTTGTAGGTTTTCCCATTTATAGCAAGTAATCCCCACACATCAATCCCAAACGATGCTGCAAGAAAATATTAACTTTAATGAATCCATCACATTTGAGTGTTTTTCCAGGGAAATGCGCAATATGGTTGAAATCTCAGCAAATTGCTTAATAATGTCAGTATTTGCAAATATGTATGTATAGAACTTAAAAACCAGAATTCACCTGGGTAATTGCAAACTAAGAGATCTTTTAATTAATTGACGTGTAGTAATAAAAATTTAATATCTTGCCAGAGATGGAGGAATGAACGACAAGGAAATTTGATTTTTAAATTGATTTGCTGCAGTGCATATTTCTTTTGCAATGATATATTACACCACAAGTTCAAGGTGAGACTAATTACAAATATTTGTCTTTTATCTGTGACATTGAAATACTTTAAACGAGCTTTTATGTTCTTATTTATCACCGAGTATTTAATGCGTGGAAGAAATGTCCATCACACATACGTATGAGAATTATAACATGTTTTTACTCAGCGAATAAGTTTTGCTATAAACATGTAATTTATTACAAGGATGTATTAATTATAATTAATCTTTGGAAAATATTGTTGCCAATTACAATATTTTTAGTTGGATGGAACTCCCCACATGTACCTAAATTTAGCCTAACCAAAGTTAATAAATATATTGGAGTTAGTATGCTCCTGTAGGCAAACAAATTCGGATTAGATCAAATGGAGAAGTTATTACAAATTCTCTTTTGTTATTCAACATGCATACTTCGCATAGTAAAATATTTGTGTATTTAAATTTTGCAACAATTCAGGTTTTAAAAATATAAGATACAATAAAACATTTTGTAATCAAGGCTGTAAAAAATACACATGCATGTAACTATTAAAGTTATGGTTATATTAATCCTCGTCACGATCAGAAGTAGATTAAATAATGCACCAAGTTATGATGTATTGCAAATACATTTGTGTATACAAATAGGCGGGTTGCATTTAGATACATTGTGTATCAAAGTTTTGTGTATCAAAGGAATTTTTTTCTGTACACTTATGTTGTTTCGGAATTAAGCGTCGACGGCACTTATGTCTTTTCAGAATTAGTACGACGATATGCAGGCGCCCGAACGTACACTAGACATTATCAAGATCTCTACGTAGTAGATTAATTATAAATACAGCCAAAAATTATGGAACTCAATCATAGAAAAGTTGTTATTTTAAATTTCCTCTTTTGAGGAAATTTTGACGGTTTTGAGACGGTTGAGTTGAGACGGACGGTTTTGAGAAGTTCATGATTTTTGAAGACATTTTAGCTATATGTTACCCCTATTTCAACAATACTGAATCAAATTAGTTTGAAAACAATATTGTATTTAAACTTAGAAAAATACGCATTAGTTTTATGCACATATGTATGTCAATGAATTGAAAGGCCACAACTTGTAACTTCACCAGGCTTAAAAACCGTTAAACCCGATATGTGCATATCTTGCTTAATGATAACTACATTTAAGGATATTTTTAATATATAGATTTATCGCAAATTTAGCTGTAAAGTTAGCGAGATAGGATTACACCTTTGTTAAGAAGTACCAGGGGTTTTCACCCTCGTAGCTGTCGTAAATTATTTACGGTAAATAGCGTTAATTAACGACATTGACGGAAATTCAATGTTTACGAAGCTTCTTAAATACACGTAATGTTGTCGCGTCTTTTTCGTTTCTCAAACTTATTTCGTAAGAATTTAATGCGTGAAGATTTGGGGCACAATACATAGTCACAGATCTAGATGGATAGAGAAATTAGAAAAGATTTTGCAAATCTCTGGAAATCTGGAAACTTTGGAGATTTACAACATCCAATCCACATTAAATTCATACCAATTTCAGGTTTTTGAGGAACTGATTTATACAAATATATAGTCAAATGAAAATTTGTAATTGGTAATTAGAAAATTCATAAAGCTTGTGTAGAGCATGACTTAGCGAGCGCCAAAGGCGCGAGCTGTTTAGGGCGCAGGAAAAAGTTTGCCCATCCTAATTAATTCTCAGTTTAGGCACTGAGTACCATAGAACCTGGTTTATGCAAAGATAAAGATATCAAAGTTAGAATACTTGTGGTCTTATCCGACTACTGTAACCTTACGCTTTTTTTCAATGAAATGTAGTTGGTTTACAAGGAAATTCTGTAAAATCATCATCTCGGATTTTTTAATTTTACGCGGGTGGGGACAATGTGAGACTTTACTACATGAATATTATTTTGCATTAAGGTACGGAAACCTCACATCATCATCATTACATCTTCCCCATCTAACATCCGTTGGGAGTTTCCCAATGGTGTAAAATACAAAAATCCGAAATGATGACATTGCCGAATTTCCTTGTAAAATATTGGTAACTACATTCGTTGGTAAATAGCGCCTGGTTGCAGTTGTCAGATAATACTTAGTAATAAAATGTATCCACATTTTTAGACTTTAGAACCAGAATTATTATAAAAGCCAGGGCAAGTTAAAATTAAACATTTGTCGCACTCGATCTGCTTAGTTCACCTGATTTAAAAACATATTCCCATTATTTCCAAGGCAATTTTTTCCAAGTTGCGAGTATATTTTACTAAACCGAAAATTATGGTTCATGTTCCCCAAATCGTAGAGGATGCGAATTCCTTCATTGAGGAATTCCTTCATTCATTCTCCTTCCATTTTCATATATCCTTTCCAACACAGGCAAAAACCTTAGAACCGAAATGTTCGGCGTTTATAAAACCACCCCCACCCACACCCAAATCCACCCCCACCCTCACATAAATCCACCCCCATTCCACCCCAACCCTCATAATTTTAGGGATAATGTGAGATTAATGGGGAAAACTGAGATTTACCATTGTTCCACAGTTATGTGCTCGTGGGGTATTGTTCCTATGCCTACTGTAGATTAGGTACTCCTAGGTGCGGGGAAAGTGAGACTTAACTATCGTAGTAAAGTCTAGGTGTGGGGAAAGTGAGGCTTAACTATCCTAAGTAACCCTAGATGCAGGGAAAGTGAGGCTTATTCTTTGGATAGTTAAATCTTGGAAGATGTAATCTCTTCCCCATGCAGTCTCTGGAGTTTTGTGATGATCAGGATGTAAAGCATATTTAATTTACGGAATTTACATGTACATTTCAATTTCGTTCGTGGTGGCTGGCCATCCACTGCCAGTGAGATGCCGGCTGTCGTCGCCCCATATTTCCCACTTGCAAACATCACCAACCGCGGTGACATACTTTTCTTCAGTTTTCAGCCATTGGTTAAAAAAGCGACCCTAATTTGTCTTTTTACAAATTTTTACTTGGACAATTTTCCAAGTAGGTGTCTGAGGAAAGGATTTGGGGAAATGAACAAATTCTAAAATTTTGGTTGAGATTTTAGACTAAATTTGATTAAGGGTTGTGGTTGGAGACATTTGCAATATTCGAATATCAGGCAGTTAACTTTTTTCGGAGAAGGAAAATGTAAGCATGAGATATGAGTTGGTGGTCTCCTCGAATTTATTACTTTTATCTGTTAATCCCCTGAGGTAGAAAAATATTCATCTCAAAACTACACCACAGAAATGCGTGTATTTCCAGAGAAGTCCCAGTATCAGCTCAACCATGTAATAACAATCATATGATATCAGGTAGACAACTCTCGGAAATAAACTTTGTGTGTGAGAATTTTTTGAATGCACGTGGAGTAATAAAAGTTCTAAGGAAGGTTCATTATATGGCTAAATTCCCAATGGTATTTTTTTAGATTTCACAATGAGATAAAATATGGCAATAAATGTGGAGTGAAACTAATCATAAATAAGTAATAAAAAAGTACCTGAAATGTAGAAATTTTTAGTGGTAATAGATTATCGTGTATTTATGTATTTGATTCAGACCCAGATCACATGACCATTAAAGTTGCCTCTCTGTGTAAAACTTTTGTTGCATTCGGTTAGCATGTGGGTCGAACTTATACTTTGTAAGTGCTCAGTATTATGCACTGAGAAAATGTTATAATTAATCTTGACAATCATCATTTGCCAGTTATTATTAGTTGTGTGGAGCTCCCAACACTTACCTAAATCTTGCATAAACAAAGTTAACAAGCATTGCATATGTTGTATAAATTTATTATGGACAAATTATGTTATATAAATATCAGCAAGCAATAAAATTCTGAATAAAATCCAAACTCATTATTTAGTAATGTAGTACATACTGTAAAAACGGGTGAAGTTTGCAGCTCTGACGTCATTTCGCTCCTCCTAGCAGGGAGGTATTGAACAGTGTAGTGCTGGAGCCACCACCACCGCTCATGAAATAAATAAAATAACTCACTTCTGGAAATCCCAATTGGCCTTCAAATTTTACATATTCTTTATTTATTATTCGAATCAGATGGTAAATGTTTATTTATCACCATTACGCACACGCTGATAGCTCATTTTTAGTAATTCAAATACTAGTTTATTTTGACAATTATTATTTAATTTTTACTTGATCATTTGATAACTGATATCATGTCAGACGAGAATCAACCCCCTTCAAAAAAAAGACACATTTCGACTGATAAATTGAACGTTAAGCATGCAATATCGGAAATTGGAATATTTATCAACAAAGTGAAGAATAAGTTAGAAGAATTCATTCAATCAAAAAATAAAATACTAAATTTAAGTTGTGGGGAAAACAGTTTTAATTCTCAAGACGAGCTACACGGTGACCACAACTCTGAGGATAATCAAATCGGACAGTTCTCAACATCAAGCGAATGTCAAACAGTTTTTAAAGAGCTAGGAATAAACAATGTTAATAAGAAAATCTCTAAATTGCTAGGTATATCAGAAAGATCAGTATATGGAATTAAAATCAACGATGCCAAATTAAATACTGAATCAGTAAAAAAACTCAGCTCAAAAAAAATAGTTTGCGAAGAATTTTTTATCTCTATGATAAGACGATTAAATCAGGAATTTTATAAAAATAAAGAATATCCTACGGCCAGAAAGTTACTTGATCGTTGCTTAGATAATCCCGAATTTCCAAGAATCAAACTAACGTTATTTAGGGAGTGGATGATAAATGAATGCAAATTTAAGTACCGAAAAATCAATAAAAAACCTGTGTTCTTGGAACGCTACGACATCGTCGCCCAACGAGAATTCTACCTAAGAAGTATTCGCAAGTTTCGCCAAGAAGGATACTCAGTATTCTACTCTGATGAAACCTGGGCGTCACCTGATCAAGCGAGGAGTCGTTGCTGGCAGATTTTATTATCTGATGAAGAGTATAAAGACATGACGGGGTTTTGGGGTGGCGACTGTTTGCGGGATATGAACGGTTATGCTGGTAGGTCAAACTTAAAATATTGCTGATAAGAAAATTATTAGTAAATATCTATTTGCAAATTAAAATGAATTTCTCTTTACGGAAACAGGGGGATTTTTATTGAAATCGGCAAACGGAAGCATTATAATTAACCACATTGGCAACGAATTAGGATTTTTGGCCGGTGGGGACGACGTTTTCATCTCAAAAAAAGACACAAAGGACTATCACGGAAACATGAATAGTGATCGGTACTTGGAATGGTTTGCCAAAATTGTCGGATTGGTGCCAGACAAATCGGTGTTAGTGCTGGACCAGGCCCCTTACCACAAAAAAAGGGTAAGTTGCAATGTAATAATTGCTAAATATTAAAATTCGTGCATTTATCTTACATTATTTAACAATTATTATAGGTAAAAGACTCAATTATGCCAACCATGGCGTGGTTAAAGGCAGACATACTAGCTTGGTTTGAAAGAAACGCTATTCCATTGCCAGAGAATGTTTCTAACTTCTGCACTATGACGAAACAAACTTTAATAGCGCTGTCAAAAAAATATCCGAAGCCGAAGAAATTCATTGTAGAAGAAATTGCCGAAGCCTCCGGGAAAAATATAAGAATTTTGTGGTTACCTCCAGCTCATTGTGAGTTCAATCCCATAGAATTAGTTTGGTCATTCATAAAAAATGACATTGCTACTAATAATAAAGGCAATAATGCTGAGGGAATATTAGAGTTGGCAAAATTAGCTATTTTAAAAGTAACACCTGAATTATGGAGCCGTTGTGTAAAGCATGCGATTAAATATGAGGATCGTATGTGGGATAGGGATAAGCTTGTTGATGAATTTATTTCTAACCCGAAGATGGCTCAAATTATAATTACTGCAGGAAATGATTCTTCCGATTCTAGCTCTTCTGATTCTGACGACAATGAATAATATATCATAATAAATAAAGAATATGTAAAATTTGAAGGCCAATTGGGATTTCCAGAAGTGAGTTATTTTATTTATTTCATGAGCGGTGGTGGTGGCTCCAGCACTACACTGCTCAATACCTCCCTGCTAGGAGGAGCGAAATGACGTCAGAGCTGCAAACTTCACCCGTTTTTACAGTACATACAGTGTTGGATATGTGAGGCTTGTGATTTTGCAATAAATTAGGCATTAGCAATCTAACTTTGTCAAGTACAAAACTACAATGTGCACGTGGAGATCTTAAAGTTCTGATTAAATTAATGGTTATGGAAATCCAGACAGAACCTATCAAACTATAGTTTCCAGTGAACGGGTAGATAGATAGGGGACGTATGTTTTGTGAGCGGAAAGTTTGCAACAAAACATATAATAAAAGTACGACTTTAATCTGATACAATACAACATTTCATACTAAAGATTTTTCAGCGGTAGAATATTTGTGGGAATAAGATACTAAATTTACATAAATCGATAGAATTTACTTAACCGTTGAAAATATAAAAGCCAGCGCAACCCAATGTTAAGGACTTGTCGCTACTCAACTACTGAGATTACTTACACATTTTTTACAATAATTCCTTGACTTTTGAAAAATTTTCTTCTTCTTAAATAATTAAATAATAAGATTTTCAAGAACTTGACCTCATTTTGTCAAAATCAAAAATCATGGTTGACCTTCCCAAAATCGTTGAGGATGCGAACCTCTACAGGGAGAGAGTTCTCCTCCCGTATTCCTATCTTGTCTCCAATCCGGGCAAAAGTATTAGGTCGGGGATGTTTAAGGTTTTAAATAATTGGTTTAACGCGACCAATGAGGATTGTAATACAATTTGTGAAATACTGGATCTCCTCCATAATGCGACTTTGATGTAAACTTTTTATTGAAAAAATCACAATAAATATTTATAAAACCAGTTTTTGATATATTTCTTTTTTTTGGTCTAGGATTGACGATATTGAGGACGGGAGTGATTTGCGGAGAGGAAAGGAAGCGGCTCATATTGTTTACGGTGTCCCATTAACCATAAATGCTGCACATTTCATGTATTTCGAAGTCATTGATAAGCTACTGGAGTTTTGTGATGATCATGATGTAAGTCATATTCCGTTGGATCAATTTTTACAGGTCTAACTAATTAGTTCTAATTTAATTAAGTAGTTTTTAACTTCGTTTATACTAATTAGTACACAAAATTGCATAATAAATAAAGAAGATAGTAATAATTACACAATGGTTATAAATTAATTAATAACCAACTAACTATTTTGGCCAACCAAATTATTTGAGTGGCTTATTTTAATTAATATTTTTCCTTCGTTATTTAGGTTATCAGCAAATTTTTGGAAGAAATGAAAAATCTTCATGTCGGCCAAGGTGCTGAGCTTTATTGGAGAGATTGCGCCGAAATGGATGAAATCCCGACGGAGAGAGATTTTCACGAAATTATTGCGAAAAGTGAGGACTTAAAATTTACACTTGCCTAAAATTTTGGGACTTTTATTTTTTGTAATTTAGAAACCACCAGCCTTGCCCTGATGGCAATCGCACTCCTCAGCTACAAGGGGAAAAACAAGACCATCGACGTAACTAAATTTGTCACTTTGATGGGAACCAATGGGCAAATACTGGACGATTTAAGGAATCTGACCTGTCCCGAAGTAAATTTAATTTGTACTTAATTATGCTAATGATTTCTTAACTTTATGTCATAAATCGCTCATAAACGTTATCCTTTCACCAGCTTCATAAGACCAAAGGGTTCTGCGAAGACATTACCGAGGGGAAGCTAAGTTTCCCGGTCATCCACTTCCTGAACAACAAAGACATTCCAGACCACGCGGAAAAGGCGAAAAGATTGGTGGCCATTTTGAAAATGAAGACGAATGACGTTACATTGAAGAACGAAGTGCTGGCTATGCTTCAAGAATCTGGATCGCTCGATTACACTCGCAGGCACTTGAAACAGCTACAATTTGAGATTATGGTGGAAGCTGGTGGTTTGGGACCGAATCCTGATTTAGAGAAATTGATGAGATCTGTGAAAACCAATATACCTGATAAACTTGCTATGGCGTAACTCTAATTAACTAATCTTTAAATGGTATTAACTACTTGGTATATAAAATTTTGGTTTGGGTAAACATAAAAAACACGTAAAGTTTCTATTTCAATTTTTAAACATTTCTTCTATATAATTTTTACGAGGTAAATTGTACTCGTTTCACATTTATCAATTATTAATTGTAGTTGTTCAGCATTACCTTTGTCATTCAATATGTAAATAAATATTTACTTGTCTATGCAATGTGGATGGTTTTTGTCTGTCTGATAAAGTTATTAGGCTAATAATATTAGCATTTAGTTGTCGTATCCATATACCTACATAACATGTCTTACATATTATCTGTATTTATCAATAGAAGTTAGCAATAAGTATTTCAGTTTAATCTGGTTTCTAGAGTGGCCGGTGAGACGAGATGAGGTGAGATAGACCCCATCTCGTCTCATCTCACTACTCGTGAGATGAGACGAAAGCTAAGTGAGATACTCAAAATTTCATCTCATCTCATCTCATTTAACTTGAGATGAGATGAGATGAGACGAGATGAGACACATTAGATCTAATAGATCTCATCACACATCAACTCATCTAATCTCAGAGTTCCCACATCTCATCTCATTTTACCCCCATTTCATCTCATCATAGATACGTCTCATCTCATTTAGCTGCCATCTCATCTCGTCTTATCTCATCTCATCTCATTTGTAAATGAGATCATCTCATCTCACCGGCAACTCTACTGGTTTCCCATCTGCCTTTCTCCCCCTTTACGTACATATCGTCGTACTAATTCTGAAAAGACATAAGTGCCGTCGACGCTTAATTCCGAAACAACATAAGTGTACAGAAAAAAATTCCGAAAAGACATATGTGCAAGTATGTACTTAGTTATGGCTATATCTTGCCACAACGATTCTTCACACATCGCGCGATTTAGCCATAACTAAATACATACTTGCACATATGTCTTTTCGGAATTTTTTTCTGTACACTTATGTTGTTTCGGAATTAAGCGTCGACCGCACTTATGTCTTTTCAGAATTAGTACGATGATATGTGTTCATAGGACTGAGCATACCGGTTGTCACCATTTGTATGCGAAAAGTGGAAAGATTCAAGAATAATTTAAATTAGTATGAATTTTACTCAAGTCGAAATTTATACAAGTGGAGATAGATAATTTACGTATTAAAATGAAAAATTCGCAGACTTCATACACTTGTTTTATTAACTTATTGTATATGAATTTTGATCCTACTTTAATTGAAAATTTTAGATTCACTCCATCCAGGTATTATTTATTATTGGGTCCATATGTCCGAACTATGTGAGCTACATATGTAGATGAAAATTCACTAAGTTTCGTATGGCACCGAAAATTAAATTGATTAGAACCAATCAATTTATACATATGTATGAGAATCAATTATTACGACGAATTTCAATAAAACAGATTGAAAATTAAGTGTTGATTAAAATAAGTTAAATGTGATTGCATTTATTCCTAAGCTGATGAGAATAATATCGAGTTGTCATAGGTGGTCAGCAAATATAAGCAATTTTTCAAAATATTCTAATACTTGGTGATCAAAAAATTGATTATAATTTAACATTGCTAAAGCATAAAACATTTTGGATAATAAAACTTATGTAATTCAGGGTTAAAGTAATGACGAACTAATTATCCAAGGCAAAAAGCGATTACGAGTATCTTTATTTTTATCCTGTTTTTCCAGTAATAATATTTTTTGCACAATAACGATTTCGCAACTTATTTATAAATTTATCAAAGTCACAACATCGCTAAACATTTTTATACAGTGGGAATTCCTGTTGCAAAGACTGCTAATCCTGAAGAGATCAATTTTCCTACAAATGAATGTTCTCCACGTGTAAACTGGAGCCAATTAATTTTGTTATGGGGTATCTGAAACACATAATTCTCAGCGGCGAAATACAATTATTTAATTATCATAACTTAATCTGGCTATAAATTTCACAATGACTTAAGTACTTTGTTTATTTCCAGGTAGTATTTCCAAATAGCGAGTTTTACTTTTTCTGAAACACAACAGCCCGTGAAATTAATTATTTACAAAAACATATTATGAGAAACAAATAAGAATTGCAAATAAGGTATTAGATTTTATTTATGGTACAAGTTATTTCACAACTTAAACTTTTTATATCCTACTCTACATCGGCTATTTATTGCACAATAATGAATTAAGTATTTTTATTCTCAAAGTCAAAAGAACTTATTTTATTGGCCGGGCAAACATAAACGAAAAGTATGCTTACGCTGACTGAAACATACATATTATATTGATCGGGTCAATTCATTATTACATACTGTATGTACATACTGTACATAAAAGATACAGGTGCATATTGTTAATAAAGTTACATTGTGATCTCTAATATTACACCAGAAATTATCATTCCTATTGGAACCTTTCAAGTGTTAATAACCAATTCGGATTTAATTTTGATTGGAATATTTATCCCATAATACAGGAAAAATCAAGTAAGATTAACACCAAAATGATGAACGGAGCCAAGGAAAGGGGGTCAATATGGGTTGGCGTTGTACGAGAAGTTGATGATATTCCATGGCTTGTGGAAACATACAAAAATGAAGCCGTTGGTCATAGCAACTCTGCAGTATTTGTGGGACCCGCAATATCATTTATGGAATGGTATGTTTGCATAGATATTACTTAATATATGATTTCCCTGATTTATATGTCATTCATTTTGTGATAATTTTTGATCGACTTTGTTATGTTTTGTTAAATTTAGCTCGAAACTGGAAAAAATATTTGACTTTGTCGTTACCATGGCGGAGGATGAAAATCCGGTAGCATGCAGTTTCAGCCTTTGGGATCACGTCAGTTTTAGATTTGCCCCAAATGGTAGGGGCTCCAAAATATTATATTTTGTATCCTTATTTGCATGGGTTGGTGACTCAGATATCGCCACAGCATTATATTTTTTATTCATTACTTATTGCTGAAGGCAAATTTTAATTACTAATTAACTTCAGGCGAGAATTCAACAACGATCCCATTATTGGAGAATAAGCCTGCGGCGATTAAATCTGAAAATGAACCTATCGCAATTATTGGCATGGCTTGTCGACTCCCAGGTTCTAACGACTACAACACTTTTTGGAATAATCTTGTCAATGGGGTGGATTCTATTGGAGAAGCGCCAAAAGATCGATTCCTTCCTGCACGTGGCAGCACGAAGTTAACACCTGAACATCTTTCAACCAAAGCTGGATATTTGTCTTGTCCGGTGGACACGTTTGACGCAAAATTTTGGGGAATGTCCCCAATGGAGTTGGACTACACAGATCCACAGGCACGAATGGTGTTGCAGTTGGGTTGGGAAGTCCGTAGCAAGTCCTATTTCGTTTCTACCTCAAGATAGCTTGTTAATAATTTGTTTGAAATTCTAGGCGCTAGAGGACGCTGGAATTCGACCATCTACTATACATGGGACGGATGCAGCAGTTTATCTCGGCTTCTGGCGAGAGGATTACAGTGACCTGCTTGTGCAATCCGGAGTTAGCGCTGGCAACGAATTAAGACGATATTTGGGTTGTTCAATGGGCAACGCAGCGGCTCGTGTTGCGCATACGTTCGGAACAATTGGGCCTGCTTTATCAACCGAGACGGGATGCTCTTCAACAATATGTTCCATTGGAGCGGCAATGGCGGCTTTGAGAAACAACAAGACCGGCCTGGCACTTGTAGGTGGGGCAAACCTAATATTGAAACCCTTCATTTACAAAGACTTCCAGGTATGTATATTAACCTTCACTAATAAGATAAGCCATTTCGTCATAATTAATTATATTCGATTTCCTAGGGCGTGCTATCACCGTCCGGCCGTTGCAAGGTGTTCCAATCCAATGCGGACGGATTTGTACGTTCTGAGGGTGTAATTATGTACATTTTGAAGCGGTTGACTGATGCCAAGCGGGATGGAAATCAAATATATGCCATACTTTCTGGTTATGGAACTTCACAAGAAGGTCTAACGAGATCAACCGGCACGCCAACTATCGACGGAGAAGCAAGGGCGATAACGCTAGCTTTGAAGGATGCCGGCGTTTCACCATTTGACATAGACTGGTTGGAAATGCATGGAACTGGAACTAAGGTTGGGGACCCAATTGAAGTAGCCGCAACTAGATTGGCGTATGAATTGAATATTGAAGAATCTGAGCGAGAAAAGCCATTGATAATTACATCGGTAAAGGCAAATATTGGTCATACGGAGAGTGTATCAGGGGCAGCAGGATTGCTTAAAGTAATGCTGGCGATTAAGCATGGTGCTATCCCACCGCAGAGACTAACATCTGCCATTAATCCTAAGCTAAATTTGAAAGGTTTTCATATACCATTGGAATTGACACCATGGAAAGGAAAATATGCGGGTGTTTCTTCGTTTGGAATTACTGGGACAAATTCGCATTTGATAGTTGAACGGTTTTCCATGCCTAAGCACACTGGGAGTTCAGAATCTAATGGGATTCGCTCGTTTATCCTCCCACTTTCAGCAAAATGTCCATCGTCTATGACTGCTTTGAGAAAAAGACATGCATATGCTCTTCAGAATTTGGACGGTATGAAGCCGTTTTCTACATTAATAATTTTACACCTAAAATGTGATAAAAAAAATTGTCATATACTTCTATGCAGACAGTCAGCTAGCGGATTATTGTTACACATCTGCAATTTGTCGAGACCACTTCAAGGAATACCGGCACGCAGTGGTTGGGCGGAACCGAAAAGACCTAATTCAAGCTATTTTATCGGACGATTTCGAAGAAGAACAAACGACGCAGAAGACACATACTAAACCGAAAGTCTGTTTTCTTTTTCCTGGACAAGGCTGCCAGTATCCGGGAATGGGACGAGGTCTGTACGAAAATTGTTCTCTTTTTAGGCATCATCTGGATCTTATAGCTGGTATCTTAACAAAGAATTATGGACTCGATATAAAGGCGTTAATCTTTCAAGGCACTGACACAACAATTTATTCACAACTTTGTATATTTGCTGTCGAATATTGCATTCTGAAAGTTTGGTGTACATGGGGTATTCTTCCTTCAATTGTGCTTGGACACTCGTTCGGGGAATTTGCAGCGTCAGTGACGGCTGGGGCGATGTCACTCCCATTTGCTCTTGAATTGCTAGTGACCTCCAGAACGAGAGTTTTTCAAAATCTGGAAGAAGGAGGAATGCTTGTACTTAAAGCAGATGAAACCATAACTACAAATTTGATAAACAATTTTATAAATGAAGAGGCAGAACAAGATACCTGGATAGATATTGCTGCGGTAAATTCATCTGAACAAACGGTAATCTCATCCACACAGGAAACTATTTCGAGATTTTCGAGCTTCTCCGATAAATTAGGAATTAAAAATACAATATTAAACGTATCTTATGCATTCCATTCTCGAGCATTAGAACCTGTCCTTGACCAATTTCAATGCGGAGCGGCTCAATTTAAGTACCCGCTTCGATTTAAAACTGTCGATTACATATCTTCAGTTTACGGACGACTAATCGAATGGAAGGAAACGCTGGATTCAAATTACTGGAGGAAACACCTGCGGCAACGCGTAGAATTTATTGGAGGAGCTAAAGCAGCACTGAAATCTGAGGCTGAAACGATATTTTTGGAGGTTGGCCCGCACCCAATACTATGTCCATTAGTGAGCAGCGTTGCAGCATCATCTACAGAGACATTGAATGGAAAACTTCTGCTCTTACCTTCGTTGAGGAAAGGAGCAGACGATATCATAACTATGTTGGATACTGCTTCTTCACTATACATCAACGGTTTTGATTTAGATTGGTCCGAAATATGGGCAAGTTTAGCACTATCACCGCTTCACCAAATACCAAGCCTTGTACCGCTATACCCTTTCACGACAGATGAAGCATTCTGGTTCACCACTAGCCCAGCCGATGAGCCATCATCCTTTATTAATGAAGAGATTCACCCATTGCTGGGAACATATTTTCCAACAATGGTAGTAAATAGCTATACATTTATTAACACGACGTCACGGTTGTTGAATAACCCGATAACCGGTGAATGGCTTCGTGATCATAAACTTGGAATGCACATTATTTTCCCAGCGGCTGCGTACGCTGAAATGACATTCGCTGCAGTTGATGCAATTAAACGCATTAACAATAAAAACCTTCGGACATCTAGATTTGGGGTTGAATTGAGTAACTTTCGAATTCAAGCTGCTCTATCGATGGGGACGAATGCTGAGTTTTACACACTTGTACAAGTAAACGAAGAGTCTGCAATCTACAATATTTCCTTTCTCAGCAGAAAACCGTCTTCTGGTATGCATGGTGCCCATACTATGCATGCCTCGACTGTTGCCCAAGTGATATCGCCAGATGTTGATGCATCTAATGGAAAGGATCAAGACATGGGTAACATATCTACCTGTGATATTAAAAATGGAAAGGAAATTGGGGATCTCTATGACCAAATGCAAGCTGTTGGTTACAATTTTGGGAATAAATTCAAGATTTTGAACAATATAGTTTGTGAAACTGAAACAACCAGTATCACATGTAATTTGAACATAGCGGACGATCTTTTAAAACCCGGTGGATACTTCATCCATCCCGTCATAATTGATTCCTTAATTCAGAGTAGCCTTTTGATAGGTAACAATCAAATAAATAGGCTGAGATTACCGGTTGCAATTCAATCTTTGGGGTTACATAAGCTTCCACAAACGATTGATAAAACGTCACTGAAAATTGTTGGGTCTGGAAAAGGCGTAAGACTTTTTGTCAAAACAACACATCCGGAAATTCATTCAAGGGAATCCTTATGGACTGAGGTAGCCAAAATATCTGGGCTTACAACAGTCTCCACAAGTATAAAGCTTCTTGAAAAATCATTGGCACCCCATATCACAAAGTCTCTTCCAATATATGCAGAAGAATGGCGAAGATTGGAGAAGCCAAAGGAAAGGCCAATAGATGACGCTTTCTCCAGTACCGTTATCCTTCCAAAGCCCTTTGAACTTTCCCATGATGAGCGTATAGAAGTACAACGCCTAGAAAATTTCTGTTTGAATCGTATAGCATCAACATTTCATAAACTTGGTTGGCCATGGGGTGTAGGAAGTAAACTACACGCCCAAGATGTAATTATTGAACTTGGACTGGGACGGTTAAACCCAAATTTCTTTATGCAATTGATGCATCATATCGAACAAGCCGGATATATAAAGCAATTCGAACCTTGCAAATGGCAAGTAGTGCGAGATTTCAAGGGAATTCAAGACGTTGATCCAGGAATCAACCACTGCATGGTTGAAGAATGGAAGTTTGCCAATTTCTATTGTGCCAAACTTGGGTCATTTCTTCTCGGGAAGGAATCGGTACTTCCTTATCTGTTCCCAGCAGCAGCATCAATACAAATAGACTACTCGGCAGACAAATTGTACAAAAATTTTACAACAAATATTGGATTGCTCAAAAATTTAAATTCTATGTTTTTGACTTTGCTCAAAAATCAATATAAGAATGGATGCCACTTGAACATCTTGGAAGTAGGAGCGGGTACAGGGAGTGCAACTAAAAACTTAATTCCGCTTTTAGAAGATTATACTGTATCTTACACATTTACCGATATTTCACCATCATTCTTATCTGCAGCCAAAAATAGTATGCCTAAAATTCAGGGCATAGCATTTAAGTACTGCACTTTTGATGTTCAAAAGGATGCGACCAGTCAGGGCTTCCTTAAGGGCAATTACGATATAATTATTGCCTTTAGCGTACTTCATGCAACCCAAGACGTTCAAGAAGTTTGCTCAAATCTTAAAGGACTACTCACCGTTGGAGGACATTTACTAATTGGAGAGCAATTTAGACCATCACCTATCGTGGACATTGTTTTTGGTCATTGTAAGGATTACTGGAAATTTCAAGACGCTCATCGCATTGCTCATTGCCTTCTGGGATTAGAGGGTTGGATAAATGTACTAGCTTGTGTAGGATTCAAATCCACAAAGTTCCTAGAAAGTAAAGATTTGGGAATGGGCGTTATTTTAGCAACAAATAATATTAACGAACATCCATCAACACAGTCATCTAATTGGCTAATGATTGCGGAGGAGAAATCCCTAATAGCCGATAGACTGGAAAATGCCCTTTCTGAAAAGGGAACACGGATAAGTTATAATTTTGTTCCATCTGATATCTTAACGAATACAGATTTATTTATATTTTGCGCTCCAGCCAGCACAGATAATTTAAATGAGGATCACCTTCGAAAACATTTTCCACTCCTCGGTTCATTTCTTAAACTGGCCCAAGAACTAATTATTAAAAAAAGCAATTGTAGACTACTTGTTATTACCCACGATGAGGCTTCAATTATAGACGAAGAATCAATTATTTCGGTTGGCTCTCCACTCCTTGCCTTTTCCCGTAATCTAGCCACGGAAGCCATAAATGTACGCGTGACATGCTTGGATTTGCAAGATTCAGAAGTTATAGATATCAGGATAGCCCAGATTATGGGAGAATTGGAAAAACCACTTACTAAATGGAAACAGGAACCAATAATAAGTTACAGAGAAGGGCAAAAATATACGGCCAAACTAATACGACTTCAGATTCCTAAGGTATCCAACATATCCAACAAAAACAACTTCCATCAACTTCAACTTCCAACTTCACGATCTATTCAAGATTTAGTTTGGGAGGAGAGGCCAATGACTGGTTTAAAATTAGACCCAAATCAGGTTGCTACATTTTTTCTTAACTTCAACGTATTACACCTTTCTTCAAGTACCCTCATAACAATTTTTATATAAATATTTGATTCTATATTTTCCAGATTAAAATACATATCCAAGCGTCTGGATTAAATTTCAAAGACATTTTAAACATCATGAAGCCAACGGCCGAGTTTCATAATTCTCACGGAGTTGGTGCTGACTTCTCGGGAATCATTGTAGCCATTGGTAATTCAGTCTCAAAGTGGAAAATTGGGGATTCTGTCATCGGAATGAACCCAAAATCAGAACCACTTCCAAATTATGTCACGCTAAATGCTGACCTATTAGCGAAGCTTCCGGAAAATTTTACTCATTCAGAAGGTGCATCCCTCCCGACCGCATTCGTTACTGCGTACCATTGTCTGGTATCGGTTGGGAAGTTGCAGGCAGGAGAGACTGTATTAATACACACAGCGTCTGGTGGCGTAGGCCTGGCTGCGATTCAAATTGCAAAATCCGTTGGTGCAAATTTGATCGTAACTGCTGGCAGCAACAGAAAGCGAGCTTATTTACGTGCACTCGGCTTAACTCATATTTACAACAGTAGAGATACCTCCTTCGCCAAGGCCGTTCTAGATATAACCGCAGGTCATGGTGTCGATATTGTTCTTAACTCATTGACTTCAAAAGGTTGGAAAGAAGCTTCACTTTCTGCCACCAAAAATGGTGGCAGATTTATTGAAATGAGTAAACTTAACATTTGGAGCGTAGGAGAAGTTTATGAAAGGCGACCTGACGTACAATATTCAATAGAAGATCTTGGTGTTCCCGACACGTCAAGAGCAATTAATTTGATTCATCAACTCAACCATTGGATAGAAAACAATACATTATCGCCCTTAAGAGTTAATATTTTCAGCGCAGAATACATAACCGCAGCTTTGACGGAGCTTCAGGCTGCAAAGCATATCGGGAAAGTCGTAATAAATCGCACTGGTCAAATTTTTAACACCAGATCCACTTACCTGATAACAGGAGGATTAGGAGGGGTTGGTCTGGAAATAGCAAAATGGATGCTGTCGTCCGGAGCTAAACATTTAGTTCTTGTGAGTAGAAGAGGAGAGGAGTCAACTACCGAGACAATTATTAAACTGAAGGAACATAAGGTTGATGTGTCCTGCGTAATAATTAAATCTGTTGACGTTGGGGATAACAACAAGGTTGGTTAGATTTTATTTTTGACAATATGGATATATAGGAGAATTTTTTAAGACTACCAAGATTATTTTATGTAAATACATATACATAATTATTACATGCATTCATGAATTTTCATGAATTTATTTATTTATTCATGAACTTATAATAATGCATCATTTAAATTGTATGTTTTTCATGCAGGTTAATCAGCTCATGTCCGAAATTTCAAGCACAATGCCACCTCTCCGTGGGATTATTCATGCTGCTGGAGTTTTATCTGATGGCACCTTATTACAACAAAACATTTCCAAAATCGAGACGGTCTACAACGGAAAAGTTAGTGGGGCGTGGGCCTTACACTTCGCAACACGGCACCTTAACCTCGAGCACTTTGTTGTATTTTCATCAGCCGTTAGTTTACTTGGGGGGATGGGACAAGGAAATTATGCAGCAGCGAACGCAGCAGTGGCGGCGCTTACGACTTATCGACATCGGCTTGGCTTACCGGCAACATGCATTGCATGGGGACAATGGGAGGATTTGGGAATGACAGCCAATCTTAATCGAGATGTATTTGGTGTGCAACCCTTTTCAATCTCAGCCGGGCTAGAGGCACTCCAGACAATCATGGAATCCAACCTGGGCGGCACAGTTGTCCCAAACTTGTTGAGCGAAGATGTGAGGACTAGTTGGTTCCCAAATTACATAGAATTGGACCAAGTTGAAGAAATTTCCAGCATTAAAACAGCCGTGGGAGAAGTTAATTTAAGTTTGAAGGACATGACTTTAGAAGATCAAGTAGTTGCAGTAATTTCCAAGATTTTACGAGCTAGAGGATCCATTCCAAACCAAGTTGACCTTAGAGATTTAGGAATGGATTCCTTAATGATTATCGAGCTTAAAAACCAACTCAGTTCTAGTTTCGGATTTCAAGAGGAAATTCCTGAAAATAGTAGCACTGAGGATATTATAAGGCTGGTCAGAAAAGCACAAATATAATGTATCAGGTGTATGTGAATATAAGTATATATGTATGTATGATTATAATATATCATATGGATATATTTAATTATAGAGTAGGGTAATGCTCGAACTCGGCACAACAATTTTCTACAAAATTGAAATTTAATGAAAAAAGAAAACCGTAAATATGTTTAAGCCTATCAAAAATAATGATGCACTTGATGAAGGAAAAAGTAATTTTTCGAAAACTTGTGATAAATAAATAAACACTTTAATCTACATCCATGAGGTCCGATCAAATGTCTCTCACTATCAAAAATAATTGACATATGTATGTATTAATATTATTTTATTTATTGAAATCTCGATCGATGTGGCTTTAGCCTTTACAATCATATATGATATCATAAAATCCATTCAATTCATTCAAACAAAAGACATACATAGTTTCATCTTATATTCAGCTAATCAATCAAGTTAGTAAAGTAAGTCTCTAGTTGTGGGCATTATCCACAAGTAGCACTCGGCATCCCAATACAGGCTAGCTACATACTATAATGAGTAACATGACAAGCGATAATCAAATAATAATATGTATGTAATAGTAGTAGTAGGGGTGTAGAGGGAAAACCGAAATGGTGGTAGGTTCGGAAAACACATTGGGAAGTTGGCCCAATACACAATTTGGCCCCTACCACAGAAAACACCCAGGTAGGAAATGAATGGCAGGGATCATAGACGGATTCCGAGGGGTAGTGGTGATATCCAAATGAGGATGGAGACGGCATGCGGAAGCAGACAGTTGAAGGTTGTTGGACGGGGGCGTCCACGGACCGCAGGAACTTTGCCCACGTCCCCCATGGAAGCCGTAGCCGGGGCCGAGCGACTCCCCCAATTGCCCCTTCCCCCATCACAACAAAACCAGGTCATGGGACCCCCGTAGACCCGACTCTGCTGCCCTCCACATGCACTATCCCCTCCCCCACTCTTCCACCGACCACTCCTCCCCACGGTCACCACCCCGATGTACCAAACAATACCCTACCTGGGGGAGTCCTCCCGAGCGTAGATCTGACGGGACTGGAAGTCCGGCGTATCCTCTTCGCCTGATGGCACACCTTCTCGTTGCTGGGGCGGGTGGGGTCAGGGGGCGTGAACATGGTCGCAGGTGGGGGGTGTGAGTGGACGAAGCTCACTGTGGCAATACTCCCTGACACGCACTTTACTTGCCCTGGACAACCACCCGTGACCCAGATGGTAGAAATCCATGTAGCAGGAGCGAGAGAGAGATGCGTGTAGCCCCATCAGAAGCTGCGAGAGAACCTTTGACATATGTATGTATGTATGATGTATGTATGATGGTTTTATTAAATCCCTTTCAAGGCATTGCCCATAGGGATATACTTAAAAAATCAAACAATTCATAGTACAATAATCAGTTCTAAATACAAATTTACCAGACAAATAGTTACGCAGGGAGACACGTCTACTCATTTTTGCAATAGTCAAGACATTCGGTTTGGTGGTGTGAGGTTGAGGTTATTAAATATACGGGTTACATAGTCAAGTAAAGTAAGTATCAAGTTGTGGGCATAATCCACACAAGTAGCACACGGCATCCCAGTACAGGCTCATTACTTACAATTCTAAACTTCTTATCATACAAACATGGTCAAATAAGTATATATCATATCGCGTACAATATAAATTCATACACAAGTATCAAGTACATAGTTATCAAGTACATAGTTAATAAAGTAAGTATCAAGTTGTGGGCGTGATCCACAAGTAGCACACGGCATCCCAGTACAGGCTCATTACTTAAAATTTTAAACTAATTAAAATGAAAAAATGATTAAATGGGTTTCAAGTTACATTTTATACAACGTAGAAGAAAATCAGACAGTAGATCCAGACATGATGAGGTCATCGCAGATTACGAAAATACGCCCCTTGCTTAGTCAGTAAATAATGCAGAGTCCGAAGGTTACTCCAGGCGTCCCCAGATGACCCCCAGCCCCTGCGGTCGCCTCTCAGGCGTCCCCTTAAGGCGATGTAGCATGCTCGGCGGGCCTCCCCATCCCAAGCACACCATGGTCACGGTGCAGGTCAAGTCAGCAAGGAGCAAAGTCGATGAAATATTCGGGTTGAATTGTTTCAAAAATCTTGGTACCAACATAAAAGTTGCTTATCAATTAGTAAAGTAAAACTTACATATAATGTAGCAGATTACTATCAAATTTCGTCACTTATTACTGATTTGATTTAAAATTCAAATAACAATTTTTTTAACAGATCAGAACAACACGGTTTTAAATACACATGTAGCTTAATAATTAAATACAATGGCAATAATTACAATTCCACTTTTTCTTTTCAATAAACAATGTTTCAAAGTAATAAATTTTCTGAAGATCACAAGTAATTCACAAGTAAAATACGCCCTCTTTTAATCTTAATTATGTGCAAAACGGAGCAGAGACAAGCTACCAACCTCACACCACCAAGTCACAGACGTGTCTCTAATTGACATATGTATATATGTGTAAGCTCCATCGACTTGAATGGCACACTCGTTAGTGGTACATACTTATTTAGTTCATTCAACAAATTCGACATATTTAAATTTAGATATATGTAAATATTTACATATATTTGCATTAGCAATATGTAATCTTTCTGTAAATAAATCTATATACACATTGGGATAAATAATATGATTTCAATAAGTATGTTTTATTTAATACATATATATACCGCGCACAGGATTTTTCCAGAAAGTAATCCATGACCTATAGAATTTGACGTAGTGAGTAATTTTTTTATAAACCTTTCGGTAAATTGTTGACAACACACATGCCATTCAGGTTTTGCTCGATAGAATTTGAATCTTTCTACATAAGTTTTGTGTCTTAATGCAAAGGTTAGAGTATCTTCTTTTGCACAAAGCCCAAAACTTTTTGAGTGGGCCCAATTAGGGACATTTGGTGGATTATCCGTCTTTGGCAGAAAATCGACGCCTTCATCCAATAAGTACGCGGTACAAATCTTGGCATAATTGGAGGTGGCGAGGTACGGCCAAAACAAAATGTCACCCAAATTATGTAGTTTCCATATCTAACCTAGAAACCGCTTCAAACATTCCTTTTTATAGACCTTTGCGTTTATAGTACCCTTGCGTATGTATGTAGGGTGACTAAATTTTGCAAAAAGTGTCTATTTCCGGAAAAACTAGATATTTCTCAGGAATTTATCCTTTCATTTTAACTTTATGTTGATAATTCACATCATGTGGATTGGCAGAGTGAAAAAATTTCCTTATCGGAGTCTGTGAAGTATCAGCAATGACGTACGTCTCGTCATACATGAGGACCAGTTTTCATGTCATCTTTCTGTATTTTGTAATATTGATGAACTCGTTTTTTCCTGGTTGTTAACGTATTTTTGGAGAGTTTTTTTTACTCGTACCGTAATCTCCAGTTACGGTACTTCAATTTTGTTAAACAAACTTTTCGAAATTTTCACCTTCCTAGCGGCGGCACGAGTGGAAATAGTATGATATTGGTAAAAAGTTTTGCCGTGATTTTGAGTTTGGGGGGGGGGGCGGCCAGGGATGTAGGTGGTGCTTTATAATTCACGTTAGCGAATTCCTATCTAGCGTCCGATATCCCAAATTTTTTGTGTTTGATTATCCATGCATCAGAATTAGGCTCTTAACTTTTAGTAAGGTATGGGACAATTTTTGCTAACATGCAGAAAATCCACGTTTTTCGAATATTTATCGGTACTGTGATTTACCTTCAACGTTGTTTTAGACCGGAAGTCGCTTCGTCTGACCCAAATTCAATCACGTGGAAGATTCTGTCACTTTTAGGTGGCTTCGAACACTAATGGATAAGATATATCCATTATTGTTGAATTGCCGCAAATCCACTTTTTTGGTCGCGCGGTTTTTCAAAGGAAATTATTATTTCTGCATTAAATTTAGTATGTTTTTTGACGTTTTATGTATTGTTATGAGGGGTGTTCCAAGTAGTTCTGACCATATTCGGTCTCGTTTTAAGATTTTCGCATGGTCATTAAAATGGTCCAGGATTGTCCTCATTTTGACCAGAAAATAACTACAATCAAATACAGGATGTAGAAGTTTCATAGGAATTATAAGACGCAATATTAATGCTCAAGGACTTTTAGGACACGCCGTACGAAAGTAAAAAAAATATGTAAAAGTCTCAACTCGCCCCCCACAGGCGGTGTCGTTGGTAACCTAGTGGGTAATAATTTGAGGCGCATTTAAATCTCTTTATTGTGTCGTGGTAATACATATAAGATATGTCTTATACATATTCCTTCTTTACATACTTAACGCTCAAGCATAATTAATTCTTCAAACACCATCTATAGCATCTCCAACAATCCATTCAATAAACGTACACCCAAAGATGACGAAATCTATTTAATAAAGCCCACGTTTTATTTAGTATATACTTAATTACTTCGTAGAATAGGTTAAAAAGTTGATAAATATGACGAAATGAGCCAACCCAAGGTCAAAAATGCAATCGTAACTATTTTTAGAAGGCTTTATTTTAACATTTGCATCCTTAGCAGTTTTCTTTCTAAACCAAACTCATTTCAACTTCTTCCCCATGCACCGGTATCCTTCCAATTTCATTAATCTCACATATTACATCGTTAATTACTCTTTCTAATTGATCCCTCCCAGAAAATACGGCCTTATCTGCCGTTATTGTAATCCCCATTTTCCCATTGTAGCTAAGGTTGATTATTGCTATGGGACACGATTTCTGTATCAGACCAGTAATTGGGGAGATTCGCTCCACAGGATTTCCAAATAATTGGAATCTGTTTTCCCTAAAAATTGCGACGTTTGAATGCATTACAGTTCCCAATTTAGAAATTTCCGGATATTTCCGTACAGTTCCACCAAATAGTCCCAACGCTCTGTTAGTTAAAAAAAATCCTATGACAATTGTGGAGCTGAAAAGGTGACGAAATTGGTTGGAAATTTGATCCAATCTTTGCTCTAGTTTTGCTTCTGACAGCGGGATCCTCAGTGGGACTGCAATTCTAGAAAGTGAGACCAATTGATATAGGAATGTTATTATCCACGAATTGTATGCTGGGCCAATCCATACATCGCAATCGTTGATTATGATTATCTCTGATTTTTAAATTTAACACGGAGAGGAGTATGTGAGACACTACTGATTGAGTATTAATCTTAATTTCCGTACAGGCGAGTCTCAGCCTCCCCCCCCCCAACCGCGTAAAATTAAAAACTGAGAGCTCATCACAATCCATAATTCCGTTGAAATTCCAAAACATCTCAATTTAGTGTATGGATTGCTCCAGGATAAAGTTGGAAGATACTTGTTCGGAATATGGTTTAAAAGCTAGATTTGTACGTAACTATAGTAACTTGGTTAATTCGAATTTTTTTCTAATTTCTAGAAATTCCAACGTTTGATAAATAAATAAATATGATATGATTTTCTTTTATATTGCAAAAGTGACCACACCCCCTTACATGGTTGTGGTTAAATGTAGTTCACCATCATATAAATGTAAAAGCTAGTAGTAAGTCGTGTGTCTGAGCAAACATCAGTGAAAAAGTGTAACTTCTGGGATTTTTGTTGCCCTTATTTGAAACATCGAGCTCTACAAGACATTAGAGTAAGCACCGAGTTTTCGTTAAATTTACAACGCTGTATCGGGTCCTACAAACCCATAAGATAAGTCAAGTCTGAGCAACAGTGAACAGCGGTGAAGGTGTGCAGAATCTAGGACACGGCATTAAATACATTTTTTTCTTATTTAATATTTGTACTTACAAATTATTCGTTAAGGTCCCATCGTGCTGGAAAATACTGGGCATGACATAACCTGATGTCGCATCTTGACAAATATGTCGCCCTCTTTCCTTCATAGCCTTCATTAATGCACCGGTAACACCGGCAAACATGAGAACCGTGATATTAGCCTTAGAAGTGCGGCAAATTCGCTTCAGGTCGGCCATATCGATTGCTATCAGATCTTGGTACCGCGTCATTTCCGCGCTCCTCACCTGATCTTTGATCGGATTTGAGTCGATCCCTTTCAAAAAACGGAATATTGTTTCGGTCGGAGTCACGAACACCAGTTCGAAGAAATTCAAAATCTTACTCGTAACCTTGGAAGGTCTCAAGTTCGGAAAATTTTCCCTGGATTTCATCTCTTTTCCGGAGTTATCAAAGTCAAAGAAATCATTAAAGAATGAAATAATCGCTAAACCGTCAGCTAAAATGTGATGAAATCTCCAAACCAGTGCAGACTTTGTGTCATACTTGCTGTTCGAATAGTTTGGCAGTGATATGACTTCCCATAACGGGAAGCCTTTTGTAAACGGTTGCTCTGGTAAAGAATCTAAGAATTGCTGGATTTTTTCTGGGTCGGGTTCCTCATTGACCGTGATATGTTGCGCAAGTTGAAAAGTTGAGGATTTCTTCCAAAATAGGGTTGACATCCAAGAGTGTAAAATGCAGGTAAGTTCAGGATGCTAAAAAACAGAATTCAGATTAAAATCGGATATAAAAATTTGATTGAAATAAGTGTTTTCACGGTAATAGATTATACTAGCAATTATAATCCTTTTCGATTATAATTTTCCAAAAATTCTCTATGAGTAAAAATGAACCAATGTGATTATAATCGTCAAAAAAATAATCTTCGCAACAGACGATTCTGTGGATTATAATCCTCATTTCAAATCAAGGTCCTGAGAGTCTCTAAGTTACGATGAGTAACTAAGGGCCTTTTAGGACTTTGGTATTGAACAAAATAGTAATAAAACACTGATAATCAGGTGCGCTCATGGTAGATTATTATAATTGATTGTGATTATAATCGTTCTAATGAATATAATCCGTTGCTTTGAATACCATTAATACCTACTTAAAGTAAATGGGGGACCTCAGTCATTGTCAAAAAAATTAGCTTACTTTGCTCGCTTAGAAATTATGAAGCGAAAGAAATCTGTTTGAAATCTATACGCCCAAAATTGTGTTTATTTAACCTGAGCTGTGACACTGCGCGGTTCTTGAATCCCATAGTTATGAGTAGCTAACCCAAAACTATTTTTACCCGTCGGTTACAAAAAGCTGGCTTCGTTTAAAATCCATCACTTTGCTCCAACGCATGCAAACGGAATTTTAAGCGAGCAAACTAGGCGAAATATTTTCTCGATGTGTGAGGACCCCCAATATCTTTACATACAATTTGTACAGCTTTCTCCAGCTTGGCTATTAATTGAGTGGTGTCATGCACGTCCCTTAAATAAGTTACGACACACTCAGAGGAAATTGGTTTTCCGTAGATGTCATCAAAAACAAGCGCCCCGCTGCAGATATTGAGTGGTCGATAGATGTCTTTTTTCCACGAGGCAAGAAATATGATAACTTTCCGATATAACATTAATGGAAGTATTACAAGAACAAAAATCGGAGGAGTAATGAAAACCACGGCAAAGATTGAGATGAGAATCAACGTAAGATTCTTTAACTGTTGTCTCATTTTGGTTAATTTTTATATATGATTCTTAAAATTATTATTGAAGTTGTTCTACAAACGACTGGAAATCTAAACTGATACAAATATGTATGTTTGTAATAAGATATTAAACAAGTTCTCAGACTGTGGAGGCAATAAAACCATTTAATTCCTCCACAGCAACGTTCAAGGGTTGTGGAACCGGTTTTACCGTCTATGTATATTTCCCTTTACTGTAGCTTAATGGATTATCTCTAATTATTCTATCAGGATCATGCACAACTTTAACATCAAGCTGTATATATTTATGACGGAAGAAATTGGTTAACTGCCTGGGGTTAAACACGTGGGGTGGATGGGGAGTGGATTACTACCGTAAAAAGTGTACTTTCCCAAGGAGAATGGTAAGTATGCCGTCTTCTGCCTTGGAAAATTTTTATTTATGTATACATCTAACCATGCTAAGATAAACGAAGATTTATTTCAAGGCATCCAATCCACCTCAAATTTGTTTAGGAAGCGACATGTAATTTGAAAACCGTTACTTGCGATAGTTAAATTTAAAATTAATCAAAGTATTTACTTCAAAGTATCAACCTTCCAACTTCTGGCAATTCAGAAAAATAGGTTTAGAAAAATAAGTTTAGAAAAATAGGTTTGCTAGATATTGCGGAATACTAAAAAAAACTCCATGCGCGACTTGTAACATTGAGTCCTTATGGGAGTAATTTATCTGAATAATTTTTTTAAGTTTGCAATTACAATTAATGATCGCAGCCCAAATTTAATTTTCTGAATTGCCAGAGGTCGGAAGGTTATTATTGACTTAAAAATTTGAAACTTTTAAATTGAGTTGAAATTTTACGTATGGAAAATCATCGCAAATCATGAGTAACCAAGGCAGATATCTACTCGTTTATTATTTTTGGCCCAAACTTTCTTTATTTTCTCAACTTTTCGGTGAAATACAAACTAGGGTTGACGGTCTTTCTCACAATATCGCTAAAATAATTCTACATCTTCGGGGTTCCAAGTTATTAGCATTATAATGGTTTTGTTTCACCCATACCCCAATAAAATCAGGTAGAATACAAATACATATATTTAGAAGTGTATATTTTTCTCATTCAGAGGGCCTTATTCTATCATATAAATATAATAAATACTAATTCCTATGCTAGATTGAGGAGAACAAAATTCAAAAGCCAAAATTTGATAAGCAATTGCTCCGCCTCTTTTGGGGTTTTCCTTCTGTATACCGTGAAATAATTTTGTTTAAACCCACGCTTTAAAGGTTTGTAGAGAATGGTAAAGGTATCACATCGACCAAATATGGCACAGCTCGATTCAGTAATAACAAAGTGTGGACGATAAAACCATTATTTTCTAGGCAATTGCACCGCATTGTACATAAGTGCAGTCGATGCTCAATGCAGAAAAGAGTTAAGTGCACACAAAAGACAATGAAAATGAGGTAAGTGCACACATGTATTTAGTTATGCATAATATTTACTAAATACTGCGATCCATAACTAAAAACATGTGTGCACTTACCTCTTTTTCATCGTTTTTTGTGTGCAATTACGTCTTTTCTGCATTAGTACGACGATATGTAGGAAGAATAATACAGTTGTGTTTATTTTAAACTGAAAATAATCTGGTAATAAATTTCTTACAAATTCGTAACATACAGGACTCTTCAATTTGGTAAGGACACGTACGTATGACACAATACAATGTGGTAAGAATCTGGCAAAAATCTCTACCATATCGGTAATAGAAATTACCAGTCTGTATAGCTCTACATTTATCTATGTATCTATTACACAAAATCGTGACGAGTAGAACTCCAAATATCGTAATAATATTGTTTGCAGTGTACGTGCAGATGTTGCTCACATTGTCTAGAGTACTGAGGATGAGGATCTTAAGATACATATTCACTGAATATGTATTCATATTAATATTCACGGATTCCCACTTTCGCAATAATGATTGTCTCCACATATAAAATGTGAGTTATGTTATATTATGAGAGTCATGTAAGTTAGGTATGTTATTTTATTTATCATATTTAACAAGTCTACTCATTAACGAGAACAAGCGCATATATAACAGATGTATGCACTCATAAAGATCTCATCAAGAAGATCACAGATAGCAAGTTCCAGTTTTTAATGGCTGGGAAATGGAATTATGCAACTTCAACCTTGTCAGAAGATTTGCAATTCAATATGTATTAGCCCAGCGTTCTCATCCAAGTCTACAAATTTGAATACATGCACAGAATTGCGTCCTACGTACGAGACGTACTTCGAGTTACTGTACTTAAGAATCCCTTGTTAGTTACGTTTATTTCCTTGTGGATCCCGATTCTCTTAGAGGTAAAGTACCGACAAGGCCTTAAAAATCCACGACTACGCATTATTCTTGCCCAGTATAAAATTCAAACTCCTTTATGCGGTTGGTGAAATTGTAAATTTGTAGGCTTCCAAAATCGAAATGTATCAACAAGTTAGTTTCCTGCATGTAATGGGATTCCTGGGTTATTTTCAATACCTCATTATCTTGGCAATTACGTACAGAATATTCAATCAAGGAAATAATGAAGCATCGTGTCAAATATATGTATACATATATATTGCAAAATTTGCAATATATATAATCATTCTGTAGCATTTAATGCTACAGAATGATTATTATATTATTTATCTATGAAGTTAATCAAGCATTGAACGAGTTCTCGAATCTGTTTCAATATCATGGTAATACCGAAATGCCGAAATACCAAAATTCTGGAATTGCAACATTGAAAAACTGCTATACTTGCAGTAATCAATTGCAGTAATGCAGTAATCTAATACATTGAAGGGATGCGTTAGCGACTAACAGACACACAGACAGAGAATGGACTGGTCTTATATATGTATGTAAAATTTACTACCCGCAAATGATCCCAATCTGTTGAAATATTAAAATTTTCAGGTTTACAGAAGCCTTAATCTTTCCAGTAAGACGGCTAAGCTTTAAGAAGAAGTTAATGTCAAATGCAGAAATTTTTTTGTGGATCACCTAACGTCACTTTTAGAAAATTAGTTAATTAGCAAAATGATGGGAATCATACAAAAGTATATAAAACTATATAAATCCCCCAATAGTACCACTTACAACTTATAGGTAAGAGGAAGTGAGAGCGCACGTCACCACTCTCTCTGCCACATTAATAAATTTTTACTTCAAAGTTTTGAAATAAATCGGTGACCCCCCACTTCACAAAGTAGTACACGTCCCGGACATAGTCCAATAACAGCAGTGCAAATCGAAAAAGTGACAAAAGTGACCGTCTTGACCGCTTTTTCTGGTCACTACCGAACCTTCCCTTGTGTCACCATAGCACACCCGCTCAAAGGAAGTGGACTCTCCCAACCAGATGCTGCAACAGGCGGAGAACCAGGAGCGGAGGAATACAAAGGGCCACTCACACCAATCGCACTGCCAAGAACAACCCCCCAAACCGGAAGGAAATCCTCACACTACTATCTTGTCTCTTTGAGAGCCATATCTCGAGCATTCGAGATAAGCCGAGGTTATAGAGTCCAATTTTAAACACATATTAGAGCACATTTTAATTACCTCTCTCCTATAAGGGCTACCACACTGACGACCCCCCCCCTCCCCCATAAAATGTCCCTACCTCCAAGCCCTGCTATGTCTGTGGAGGATATTATCAAATTGGCCAATCCAGCCACCAACGTTATTATTTTGGAAGGGACGAGGGAGGACCCTGCCAATGCAAAAATTGATCATCACCTCGACTTTCTCACCTGGGACCACGAGTCAGCGGATGGACCTGACTGCTTTCTATGCGGCGAACGTGTCTTCGATATCTCCTACTGTGTCACTTTCAAGGGAGTCAATTATTCTGTTATCTTCAAAGGCGATCCCATTGACTACCACACAAATCCTGACGGCTGGGAAGACGGCGTTATTCAATGCACATTTTGTTTCAATTATTTCACAAAAGCCGTTGTAACCTTTATTTGTCAAATGTATCCTATTTGAATATCTTGCAATCCAAAAGTTGGTCATGTCCTAATTGTGTGCCCACGTTTAAATGTAAAGACAATGTGAGCACGACCATTAATTATGAAAAACTACTGTCCAAGTTATCTAAAATTCTTAATCCTTTACTCAATGTACCTACGAATTGTATGATTTTGCTCAACCTAGATTTAAAATCTATAAAGTTATCAATTAATAATTTATTTGACAAGTATGGTGTTGGATAAGTAATCACAAATAGAGTATACTTATATTTTGATCACCAAACAGCCTGTTATCGGATTTTCCTCTGTTTAATCGTAATAATTTAAATAATCGTCAAAAATTTTATCTATTTTCTCCACATTTTATGTTTACTATTATTAATTACCGCTTATATATATTTTATGCTTCTTACTGTGTCATGGTTTTCAAACCAGTTTTTGTAACTGATATCCATTAACACACGAATAAAGGATGAAAGAAAGAAAGAAAGAAAGAACAAGGTTGACCGAGATCATATCCGTTCAGGGCTCAGAGTAGAGCAATGTAAACTTTTGTCACACTTTTTATCTTAAATACAGTAAATTAGGCTTAATAATAATAATAGTGTTATAGGGTTGTTAGGTTAAACATCTATATCTTCATGATTTACAAGAAATACACAACGCGTTAACCTTGGTGCAGAGTCCTCTCTCCATTAGACAATGCATTCCAGCTGTTGCACCTTCCGAAATATCTGGCGTGTCCGCGCCATGCTCTCTTAATCAGCATTTTGAAGTGAGTACATATTTCTCTCCATGTTTCACAATATTTTTGTATGGTTTGGTCTTATTTGATAAATCAAAAGCTAGATCAAGGAGTCGACCAATGTAGTTTTAGTGTATAATATTTTAAAGAACATACCAACAGTACATAATTAAATTCTCGGTGAGTCCTACGAGACTGTTTTTAAATTTTGTTTCGTACCGAATAAACTGTAAAGTATTTATGCATAATGGCGACATCCTCTACTGCAGTTGCCCGTACCATTGTTAACGTAAGTTTATTACAAATGCCTTATACATATTTATTTATTCCATAACACATATTTTATGTCTTAACGCTTAGGTCAATACCTGGAAAGAAAGTTACGACTGGATTATTTCATTCGGTTCTACTTTCTCAAACAAAAATACTGACTATCCCACATTGACTGCTTATGGCCCTAAATTTTCTCATGGGATGTTAAATAATTCTAAATATGTTTGGTGAGTCATTGACGTAAAAATTATTGAAAATATATAATACCAAATTTATGCAGCCAATAACATCATTGTTTATGCATCCATAAAATATTTTTAAATGGCTTCCTATTTAAACAATTAAATTTAAATAATATTTGTTCTGATTTCATAGCTTCGTCGAAATAACGCGGTCCAATTGTCGAGTTGAGATACATTTCGACATCAGGGAACGAACTGAGTTGACTAACTCCAGAATTAAAGACGTAGGGTCGACCTTTTCGAATTTTGATTTCGATTTTTTTATGCTCATTCAATTTCTACCTCATGAAAACCGCGAAAAACGTTTTTGAAAAAATTTAAAAAATATCAGAGTGCCCCGCACTCTCAAATTTGACAAATCTGATTCAAAACACTGTTTCTCAATCAATTTTCATCCGATTGACCCCAAATTTATAACAGATACTTATAACAACATTCCGCATGAGGGATTGTTTTGAAAAATTCGAAAGCCTAAAATTAAAGTAGATATGATAATTTAAAATTTACAAAATTGCAAAAAGTTCAAATCCACGTCTTTCTAGCGGAAATCTGGATTATTTCCTATAAACAAGCAAAAAAGTATCTTTTTTACGTTGACATGAAAATTGGGATAATTTGAGACTACCCAACATTGAAAATACCTATATTGGTTATATCTTTTAGAATTTGAGACTTTCGAATTTTTCAAAAAAATCCCTCATGCGGAATGTTGTTATGAGTATCTGTTATAAATTTGGGGTCAATTGGATGAAAATTGACTGACAAACAGTGTTTTGAATCAGACTTGTCAAATTTGAGAGTGCGGGGCACTCTGATATTTTTTAAATTTTTTCAAAAACGTTTTTCGCGGTTTTCATGAGGTATAAATAGAATGAGCATATAAAAATCGAAATCAAAATTCGAAAAGGTCGACCCTACCTCTTTAATTCTGGAGTTAGTCAGTTCTCTGCTAAATTACTCTTTGTTAAAGGCACTATTTACGCTGGGTCGAAAAGCATTGCATATCATAGTACTCTACCTATCGAAATCCTAAAGGATGAAAATATTATGAGATATGAAGCCCATTTACAATTTGAAGCACGGGACGAGGATTAGCACGGTCGACTCGTTAAAATTGACTTTCGAACTACAGTTTGAGAATCGTAAGTATTTTATATTATAAAATTACAGAATTACTCGTTGGATAAGAACAATTAATGAAATTCGTGATTTACTCAGTTAAAATGAAGGCTTAACATGATACGCTTATTTTATGTAGCACCAATCATAAAGCACTTGACACCATATGACGAAGTTTCAAATTACGATTCTCCGCCGTACGAAAACTTTTCGGAATTTTTCATGTCCAAATTTCTCTCTGATGTTACAATCGTATGTGGCGAGAAGGAAATTGCAGCACATAAATTCATCTTGGCCAGTAAGATAGATCAGTACATTTATCAAGACATGCAAAGAAATCTGCATACTGGACATGTATGTATGTAATTAACCTTATGCTTAACTTGATATATTCAGAACGCAGCCCCGTTTTCTGGAATATGTTTAGTGGCGACAATTTGGAATCTGTGCAAAATAAGGTTACCCTACTTGACGATTACGCCGCTGTTTTGGACATGATCCGCTGGATGTATCAAGGATCCAGTTCTGATTTCAAACTCCAGACCGTCGAACTGCAGGGACACTTCGACTTGTATAAATTGTCAGATCGGTACGACTTGCCACGATTGACGAGCTTCTGTGCAAAATTAATTTACGCAGAAATTAATGTTGACACTGCAATGGAGATTTATGTCATTGGTAAAGTTTATCAAGATGAGGAATTAGTGGACAAGTCTGCTTCCGTAATTAGGAAGTTTATTATAATACGGCATTCCAATACTTGCTAAGGAATTAAATATTTGTTTGCATATATATTTTAGAAATAAGGCAAAAATATTTTCCGACCCAAAAATATTTGCCAAATACGCTGAAGAATATCCAGACTGTATGTATTCTTTATGGATGGAAAGTTTGTAAAAAATAAGATTACCCTTCATCAATGCAAACGGTCGTTAAGATATATGTTTATCGAATACTTATAGCATATTGGATCTTATATTGTAATACTGTTCTTTTGGCTTGAAATAAAATATTATAATTCGATCAAATATCATGTAAGAATAGCTTTTCATATAATTGTACATCTATTATTCGGTATTTACTTGGCTGTGATAGGCAACAGGAATTAATGAATCCTACTTATGCTTGGGACAAAATGAGCGTTGGCGAGGGGCTTGCTTCGGTTCTATAGACGGGCCGCAAGTTAAGTTCTTATGACTCAACCAAGGGGCAGGATGGGTGACCACCACCCGTCGTCGTGCCCCGGGAGAATCTGGCTGCCCTCCCAGAGAACCAGTAGCTCACCGTCATGAGCTATTGGCAATCTGTCGAGTGGATAGAGCAGACATACTTTCAATGTATGTCTTCGCATCCAAAGGGGCTGAAAGCAATAGGTGCTTATACCATGGTCTGGCTGGAGAGGTGTGTCTATTCGTGTAAGGTAACGATTGCTGTGGTATAGAACCGACCCACCTTCCAGTCTGGGTGAGGGTCTATACACACAGTGGTTGGATAACGCGGGTATAGGGGGTCGCAAGTGGCTTCGTTCACGGCCACGTCAGTTAAATTGCCTGCATATCCTGGCTGCTATAATAACAGCGAGGAGACATGCAGGGGATAGCCATGGTAGCACGTGTACATGGAGAGTCGGCAATAGGTACCTCGGTGTCTCAGCTGCTGGGCTTATCCCACTGCATCAAAGTACATACATACATTGGGACAAAATGAGGTCATTTATATAAATAGATAAAGATAAGTAAATCATACGCATATATTTAGAATGTCGTAAGTACAGTATGTAAAAGAATTCATCATACCCATTAGATTTTTTCGTACAAATCAACTTATCTATACAACTGTTGGCGGTAATTATGAGAAAATTAGCATATTTATTCTTTAGGATATGGGCAATTAAAAAACATTAATTGGAAAAATCCGATGGGGTAATTTGCGACGCAATTGGTTTCAACACAAAATTCATACATCAAAAAATTGTTCGTACCTTTGGGAATTTTGGCTATTCTTTGTTCATTTGCAGAAGTGCCAATTTCTACTCAGCCTGAAATGAAGCCAGGGTACTATTCTTTCATAAAAAATAAATTTCAAATAATTGCATACACTAATACCTGAGGAGATGGCTTCGTTAGAAAGCATGTCGAGGTATTACATTATAACACTGCTATTTTATGAAAAAATTTTGAGATGCACAAAAATGGTGTATAATCAAGTTAACTAGAACAGAAAGGTGTAAACTCAGTGAAAATTTAGAATGAATTTGCAATTTTAGCAAATTCATAAGCATTTTCTCAGAAAAATTCGATACTGGCAAAAGAGAATTTCCACCATATCTTGAGTATGGAAGACAAATCGAGGTTGAAGAATCCCAAAACTAGTAGGGATTGGTAAGCAGGACCTAATATATATCCTGCATTTCAAATTACATTTCAAAAAAAATAATATGATGACTTTCGGGCCCCACCATTCCAACGTAAGTATTCATAAGTAATGAACGGCAAGATGTGTTATGCACTTTGAAACTTTGGCGTGTTGTCGACAAACCAGCAACCCCTTTGGGGCTAGAGTCAATCGAATACAACCCATTTACTCCATTTCAGGCCGTTTGCCACATGTCCTATCTATTTTATCGACAATTCTCAACAGGGGCTAAAATTCACTTCATAAAAAACTACGCTGTCCTTATTTAGTGACCCTGGAGGTCCTCTCAATATTTTTTTTGAAATGTAGTTTGAAATGCAGGATATATATTAGGTCCTGCTTATCAATCCCTACTAGTTTTGGGATTCTTCAACCTCGATTTGTCTTCCATACTCAAGATATGGTGGAAATTCTCTTTTGCCAGTATCGAATTTTTCTGAGAAAATGCTTATGAATTTGCTAAAATTGCAAATTCATGCTAAATTTTCACTGAGTTTACACCTTTCTGTTCTAGTTAACTTGATTATACACCATTTTTGTGCATCTCAAAATTTTTTCATAAAATAGCAGTGTTATAATGTAATACCTCGACATGCTTTCTAACGAAGCCATCTCCTCAGTTATTAGTGTATGCAATTATTTGAAATTTATTTTTTATGAAAGAATACTACCCTGGCTTCATTTCAGGCTGAGTAGAAATTGGTACTTCTGCAAATGAACAAAGAATAGTCAAAATTCCCAAAGGTACGAACAATTTTTTGATGCATGAATTTTGTATTGAAACCAATTGCGTCGCAAATTGCCCCATCGGATTTTTCCAATTAATGTTTTTTAATTGCCCATATCCTAAAGAATAAATATGCTAATTTTCTCATAATTACGGCCAACAGTTGTATAGATAAGTTGATTTGTACGAAAAAATCAAATGGGTATGATGAATTCTTTTACATACTGTATCTATGTAACCCTTTCCTTAAAAAAGCTTAATCAACCCTTCAATTCCAACTAAAGACGAGGCTTTGTCCCTTTGCTCGATTTATGTACCATTTAGATGAATCAACATGTGGACTGTCCAACCCTTAAAAAAAGCCTGAACCCCTTATTTGAGGCTTTCTACAGTCCAGTGACTGAAACACAATTCTTCACCAGGACTTTAGTGGGTTTTATTGTCCGAAATTGTTTAAATAAAAAGCTATTCAACTCTTTACAGCACCAACTCATTAAAACCTTGGCAGTCCTGTGTGCTAGAGAATGAAGTAAACTTGCTCTCTGCCTAACTAAATACAACGGAAAAGTGGTAAGTTAACAAAAATAGGTGAAGTATTGATACTGACATATTAACGAAGTTTCAATGAGTAACTCAAACCATCGTACTAAGAAAATTTATCCGTTAATTTAAGCAATCCCAATATAATGGAATATAATCAGATGGAAAATTGGAAGTCCAGTTACCGCCCGAAAGCATTTAAATCCAAGACAGGATTAACGCAACATTTTTTAGTTCACGGTCCAGCAGGAATTTGCAAGGTAAGATTTCCTTGATCACTTAAGGACGAAGTACGGACATTTGTGGACCAGATTATTTTCCCTTGAGGACGAAATACACAAACGTACGTACTGCATAAATTGCCTTCACACCTTAATTTTCCAACAAATAGGAGCATTCCTTTTGTAATTTGTGGAAAACTCGATGGTAAAAAGCTGATTTTTTTTATATTTTTTCTTCACAAATTTTAGAATTTTCCCGGTACCGACCAGTATTTAAAAAATTTCTTTTTCATCAAAAAACTCACAACTTGGAACTGGTTGAAATAAATATTCTGTCATACATATATATGAAATCAAACATACATTTGTTGTAAGTAAGCAATCAATATCATCCCCAACAAGAATTTTCCATAAAATCGTAGTTTCCAAGAAGTTAATTGAATACGAATAAATGATATCTTTCAAATATCTAGATTTGTGGCAAAACTCTAAAAAATCAAAGAGCCCTCCTCATCCACCTGTCCTACACCCATGGCCACCAGGGAGAAATGATACCATGTGAAATTTGCAGCAAAGCGTTTAAAATGCCCGGGAATTTAAGACAGCACATGAATTCCGTCCATGCGACGACAACTAGGACAAAGTTGCCCTGCTCGTTTTTGGGATGCGATAAAACGTTTTTCCATAACCGTCACCTCACTCGACACTATAATGAGCAGCATTCGGAAAATCCCACCCGATTTCCCTGTACTATTTGTGGGAAGGAATTTAAATCTAAAAATTTACTAAATCGACACCACATCACTCACAACATGGAACGAATACGACTACCCTGCCAGTATGTTGGATGTGGTAAAGGTTTACTAAATAAGAAGGATTTGCTCAACCACTGTAAATCCCAGCATTCCGAAAGTCCTCACAGATTTTCTTGTCCTCTATGTGGGAAGGAATTCAATACCAAAAAAGAACACGAGTATCATATCATTAAACATACGACGGAAAAAGCACACAAATGTGCGACATGTGGATGGAGTTCTTTCCGCAAGTCTACACTCATCAGACATGAGGTACGAGAAGAACAAGCATACAAACATATCGTCGTACTAATTCAGAAAAGAGCTAAGTGCCGTCGATGCTTAATTCAGAAAAGAGCTAAGTGCCTTCGACGCTTAATTCAGAAAAGAGCTAAGTGCACACAAAAAAAGATGAAAAAGAGCTAAGTGCACACATGTATTTAGTTATGGATCGCAGTATTTAGTTGTGCATAATGTTTACTAAATACTGCGATCCATAACTAATACATGTGTGCACTTAGCTCTTTTTCATCTTTTTTTGTGTGCACTTAGCTCTTTTCTGAATTAAGCGTCGAAGGCACTTAGCTCTTTTCTGAATTAGTACGACGATATGTATTTTGAAATTCTCCAAAGAATTAGTAAATTGTGGTTTGGTCAATTTTTAAAAGTTAATATGTAAATCAATGACTAAAATTCAGAGCCTTTTGACAAATGTCTTAAGCTATGTTTTGCGCCCATTATAATTTTACTCATCTTTTAGTCAATTTTACATAAATTCCTTTAGACTAAATATTTGTTTATGGTGCATCCAGTATTACCGTGTCTTGGGGTATTTTCATACTTTATGTATTGCTATATTGTAGGTGACACACCAGGATAAATTATCTCGATCCATATTCCGGTGTGAGTTATGTGTTAAGACTTTCCTGTATAAATCGGGACTCCAACTACATCATAAAAATCATCATGGGACCCCAATCATGCACGAGTGCGAATTCTGCGATTACAAAGTCAGTTGGAAACCAAGTTTAACATTTCACTTGAAGCGGGTGCACTATCGAGAACTGAACTACGAGTGCTACTTCTGTGGGAAAAAATTCTTCAATTTTCCAGAATTGAGAAGTCATTGCAGGAGGAGGCACACGCTTGAAAATTAAGATAAGGACTATTATGGATATGGTTGTGTCGTGCAGATCAAATTAACGTTTTATTTTCCAATTTCGCTACCACTCTCACTTTAGCTATTTCTGTTATATTTGTGCGACAGAATAGATAGCTCCCAATCCCTCAATGCGTACAGAATGGAGTTGAATACTTTAGTTACTATTCTCTGGGCCTTTCTATAGAATATAAACTATAGTTTTTTATACTTCAACGTGCATAACAAAACATATGTACATAATATTGTATGCTCAATAAATCACTTACCAATATGTAAGAAATGAATACAGAATTCGGTCTTATGAAATGGAATAAGAATTTTATCAATTCTTATATTCTGTACTACCTATACATAATTAAATAAATATAGACTTTATACATTCTTATGTAACATAAAATAGCTGGGAGAAGCAATATGATAGGTCTCTATATATGTGAACTATATTCTATGATACGTAATGCAAAGCAGTATGTGCCAGTAGCAGTTGTCGTCAATGTGCAATACTTCTAAAATATTTACTTTCATAAGATTTACACGACATAAAAATATGTATTCTATATATATCCCTCTATTTATTAGCGAAAAGTAAGGTCATCGCATTATCCGTTACCCTTTGCAAATAATTGAGGAAATTATTCATCTCTATTCCATTCACCATTGTGTTCAATGAATTAACAAATTCGATATTCATCGAATTTGGCAGTAACCCCTTTAGCACTCGCGATTCGTATTTATGATTTCCATAAATGTAGTTTATCCTATAAAGGAATTGTTTCGAAGACGTCACCGCGCTCGATATGAAATGAATTAAAAATATTTCCAGGAATGTCATTCCTCCTACAATTATCACGCTTAGCACGATAACTAGCAGACCGTCTGCAGCAGACCGTCCGCCATCTATCAATGACCTCAGGATGTAATACAGGGCTCCGGAGGACAACCCGACAGCAAATATGTTGTGCATGCAATGAACTATGAACATCTTACATAGCTCTGTATGATACATCATTAATATTTTCAAGCTGTTATGTACCAAAATCATTTCCGCGAAATTCAAACTTTTTCTGGTTTTTATACTTCCTCTTCGGCCGGAATAATGAATAATGTTCCTAAGTAGAGAACCATGAGTCCAAATCCTGTGATGCTAAAACAAATAATAAATTGGGAGAACGCCACCAGGGCACAAAAGCTTATCCCAATCCCGCTAAGTATTTGAATTATTGCTGCGAAAAGTTTTCCGTCCTGTTCAAAGTTGTAAATCGACCGGAGTAGAGTGTACGCCACTGAGTACTTCGACATGGCTACGAGGACGAGGAGAATCGGAATGGTGTAGTCAGTTTGGATGTAGAATGCAATGGAGAGGGTTCTGATATTTGTCATGGCCCGATATATCTTGTCAGGAGAGTACGACCGGGCAACAATTTTTTCTGCGTCTGGGAAATGTAAATTTGTATGTTGTAAAGTTTAAATTGACAATCTTCAAGCTATCTAAACTCCTCCATACGTTGCATAGCTAAGTTTACCTTGAAAACGCCTCCAAACCACGAATGTTGCGTTGTAACAGTGAAGGAATTTTTTTTATCCTCTCGGCCTAAGAACGACCGGTCCATACGGAATGATCACCATTGTTAAAACCAATGCTATACATGCCGCGGGGGCCGCGAATTGGTCCTCCTTCCCAGGATTTAAGTACAAACTTATGCACCTCCAGGTCAGCAGAGGCGCAACTATTGACGGCGTTATGTTAGCAAAACGTCGACAGTATTTGTATTTGGGATGGTTGATAGGGTAAGGTTTACTTAATTCAGCTTTGCCATCCCAATATATCCATTGGAATAGGTGCAAAGAATTGCGTTGCATGATACCTATTTGTTGTCGAAGCTTCAGGGTGAACAGATCAGTCAACATTTTCAACAATAATTGCAAAGCAAAATTCTTAAGTTGTCGATCTTTAAAATATCGTTTATGTTCTAACTACATTTAGGCTTGTGTTCCATGAACTTATGATGGGCCAGGAATGATTATCGGGAATGGAGAGTGGGCAATTGGCATATGCCACAAAATAAGCCGCATTCATATAAATATATGAAAATTTAAGTAAGAAATGTTTGCAGTCTTATATGAATGTTCATAAATTAGACATGAAAATGTTACATAATTAAACTAAGGATGTGCAGAAGGCTTGCGAAGGAGGTTAATTTCGTCTAAAAATGGCTTGTCTATCAATGCAAGAATAAACGACATTAGGCTCCTATTTAAAATATGTATTTAGCTGCCCATATTCTAAATAAGATAATTTGGGTATCTATATTTGAATAGGAAGCCAATCAACATAATTTTTTATATTATTACGAGGTAATTAAGTGAAGACATTATTCTAAGAAAAATATCCAGTTCGATAAAACATATTCTGTAATTTTTCCTCTAAACTCATTAATATATTAGCTAATCTAATAAATTATTGCTTTCTTCAAAGTAAATATTTAACATCAATTCCGTTTATTTCCTCACATTTTTAGAATAATCTTTCATAATTTCATTCTTTCATACTTTTTTGAAATTTTTCCTTACTGCCTTATTCCCTGATGCGATCGTAATACAGGCGACTACTCATTCATCCGATCGTATTCCGGTCTGATCTTATCCTATCGTAAAACAACATGCCTGGGGACTACTATTTTGATAAGGTAATACTGGATGCTAACTCGGGTGATTCTACTGTAGATGTATGTATCATAAAATCCCCTTAGGCATTTGCCTTCAGAATCACGTTATGCTTCAATGCTATCGCTGGCTTGCTTAATCTTATATGGAAAGGCTATAAATGTTTTTGTGTGACGTAACATATTTAGCATTCGTGCAAACTATTTTGAAATTTTTGCTAAATAAAACGTAACACGAACTGATGTTTTCTTATCATGTGTTTTTTTAATTTTTTTTGCATACAAAACACGAGTATGCACTTAATTTATATTAAGGGCATAATTTATATTAAGTGCATCCCATAACCTCGTCCCATAACAATTTATTTATTAGCGAAGAGTAACGTCATCGCATTATCCGTAACCTTTTGCAAATAATTCAGGAAACAATTCATCTCTATTCCGTTGACCAATGTATTCAAAGAATTAACAAATTCGATATTCATTGAATTTGGCAGTAACCCTTTTAGCACTCTGGATTCGTATTTATGATTTCCATAAATGTAGTTCATCTTGTGAAGAAATTGTTTCGAAGAAGTCACCGCATTTGACATGAAATGAATTAAAAAGATTTCCAGGAATGTCATACCTCCGACAATTATCACGCTTACAATGACTACCAGTACAGCAGACCGTCCAACCTCTATGAAGGATATTAGGATGATCCTAATATCCTACATAGGCCTTGCAATACCGGTATTGATACCGCGGTATTCACCGGTATTACCGAATACCGAATCCCGGTTTTGAAAAGTTGAATACCGGTATTCGAATTAAATCTCTTTAATATTTAGTTCCATCTTTTCAGCTAAAAAAACTCGAAATATTCAATTCTAAACTTGTGTATAAATTTATCGCATAATAAACAAATTGTGTAAAAGTTCTAATTCACATTAAGTACGTATTGAGTCCAATAAAATATTATTTAAAACCTCATTCAATGACTCATTATTAGTCATTATATTATCTGTGATTTCACAATCCCAATTCACAATTGGGATTGTAATCCGATTGTAATCTTAGATTGTAATCCGATTCACAATCAGCATACTTTTAAATATTTCTCTGCCCTGGGAATTTATTTTAAAATTCTAGTAACAGATTATGTGGAACAGGCCTGTGCAACAGGACTTTACTTAAAATACATACTCCCCATTTTGACAGTTTTTAAATGTAGAGATCTAAGGAGAATACCTAGCTGGAGGAAAGGTTAGAAGTTATCAAAGCTGGCTTATAATAATTTGAAAAACGCGTCGTAATATTGTTAATTCACTTCCTAGCTACAATGATGTTATCAGATTTTCCAAATCTGGTCTTGTTGTCTCATAAAGCAATTTTTGAAACCATTATTGACAATGCGTCGTTCGATGGAAACCTTAATGGTGTACACTTATAAGTACTTAGTCTTGAAATTACAAATACATCAAAGTAAGCCTTTCCTCAAAACTAGGTTGGAAGGTAGAACAATTTGTGATAGTCTCACATGCTCCATGCTTAAATTATTTTCAATACAACATATGTATCTAAAACCATAATATTAGGTAATACTAAAATTATGAATTGCTGATTCGATATCGCCACAATCGTGTAACAAAACGAGTCATGTCGTATGACTCGTACGCATAACTCATGAGTACAGTGATTTTTCAGGTTATATTGTACAAAAACAACTTTATGCATTAATTTTAGAATTGACAAAAAAGCTTCTTGTGTTAAATGTTAAGCATATTAGTTTGTTTTTGCCTTTTGACTACTTCTTCATCGGCTAATACAAATTTAGCATAATGTATCGGTAATACCGGTATTACCGAAGGCCTCAATACCGCAAATGCCGAATACCGGTTTTGAAAAATGGTACACGTATTGCAAGCCCTGTATTATACAGCGCCCCGGAGGAAAACATGACAGCAAATAAGTTGTGCAAGCATGTAATTACGAACATCTGACATATCTCATTATGCAACATCATTAATATTTGCAGGGTATTATGTGTCAGAATCCTTTCGTGAAATTCAGGTCACTCGAGATTTTTCTGGTTTTAACTTCGTACCTGGCCGGAATAATGAATAACGTCCCCAAGTAGAGAACCAGGATTCCTAATGGTGTGACAATAATGCAAATAGTAAACTGGGAAAATGCCACCAAGGCACAAAAAGTTGTCCCAATCCCGCTTAGTATTTGTATTATTGCTGCGAAGAGTTTTCCATCCTGTTCAAAGTTATACATCGACCGCAGTAGAGTGTAGGCGCCAGAATACTTGGAGCAGTACACATTACTACATATATAAATGATATAAAATTCCGCATAAGGTAATCAACCCGCACTACACTTTACCTTGAAATCTCTTCCAATCCTGGAATGTTGCGTTATAGCAGTGCACGTATTTTTTTAATCTTCTACGCCCAAGAACGAACGGGCCATACGGAATGACAACCATTGTTAAGACGAATCCTATGTATGTTGCCAGGATCTCGAATTTATCTTCGTGTCCTGGATTTCTGTACAAATTGAGACACCTCCATGTCAGCAGAGGCCCTACTATTAACGGCGTAATGTAAGCAAAACGTCGAAAATATTTGTATTTGGGATGGCTGAAACGGAGAGGTTTAATTAATTCAGCTTTCTCATCCCAACATACGGATTGGAATAGATGCAAAGAATTGCGTTGGATAATACCGGTTTGTCGTCGAATTTGCTGGATGAACAGATCAATCAACATTTCCGACAATAATTGCAAAGCGAAATTCTTATAATTCTTAGACGTCAATCTTTATAGCGTCCTTTAAAATGTAACTATTTACAATTAGATTTGTTGTGTCAGGAATCTTTGCCTATGATGGGGAAATGATTAGTCGGAAATTGGTCTGAACGGAGGACCAGCAAATGGGAATTGGTAGATGAAGTATGTAGCTATCCATATATATTCGAACTTAGATAAGTAAGGAATTTTTAAGGTAAGTAATGTGAATAAATTATACATGAACATGATAAACCAGGCTTAATTAAAGTAGGAATATGTACAAGGTTTTCAAAAATGGTACGTTCTAGTAAAATAGACTTACCAATCAAATACATATGCCAGAATAAATGATAATATGTCTCTATTCAAAGTAGCTACCAATATTTATGTAAATATATATCTTTAACCAAGTTTATGCATTTTCAAGGAGGCTTCAATCATCTAATTTTTATATACCTATTTTTGTCTACAAGATACAGATAATTGAGTGAAGACATTATTCTAAAAAAATACTCAGTTCCATAATAATTCTGTAATTTTTCCTCTAAACTCAATCAAACTAATAAATTATTATTTTCTACAAAGCAAATATTTAACAACAATTCCCTTTATTTCCCCAGATTTTCAGAATTGTGTTTAAGAAATTTTGGAAAACATTTCCTTCCTTATTCCCGTATTCCCTTTTTGCCGTGTTATGTGACCAAAACTAACTTGCACACATATTTAACTTTACGTGAGC